AAATATATATGACATTAAATTCAAGCTGAACCTTGTAGGCGAAAGAGGACAGCAAAATAAATAAAAAATAGTTTAATGTTCCTTGGCCTCTGCCCTTTCCTTTTCACCTAAGCTAGCTCCTGGTAGCCTTCATTCTCACTGAATGCTGTAGATGTTTAAAAAGGAAAAAAGAGCAAGACGCGTGTGTTGGAGCTGGGCAAGAAACCTTCGGTAACAAATCACAAAATTATCGTTTCTTTCATCTGTGAGGAACAACCGGGGGGACTGTTGGATACAGCACCCGGCCTAAATCCTGGCAACCTCCCGAAAAACGCAGAAAGAAAGGTTGGGGTTGGGGGGGTTGGGGGGTGGATAGGGAAATACATGCAGGAAGAGAGGAGAAAGAAGAAGAATCTAGTCGAAAAAATTCCCAGTGAGGGAAGTCCTTGAAATACTGCCTGAAGAAACCTGCAGTTGAAACATCAACACACCCGAATGAAGCCGAGAGCTCCAAACACAACCTCACCTCTAATAGTGCTCAGCTCCTCGCAGTTGCCAGTTCAGGACCCATAGGGAAATAAGTGTTGAGCAGAATGAACTTTCTTTACCGTGTTGACAGCGAAGAGGCCCGAGTGTGTCTAAAGCACAACCTCTGCATGTGTGTATGTGTGTGTGTGTGTGTGTATCTATGACAAAGATAGACAAACAGACAGAGACAAACCATGACTGACTGCAGCGGTCCGAGGGGACTGTGTGTTTCCTGTGCCACTGAGCAAATGACATCTTTCTGCTCCACAAACACACGTTCACATTAAGATCTGCAGGGACCAGCGGATGCTGTGCAGTAAGCGTGAGCGTTTGTGTGTGCATACAAGAGATGCACCGAAATCCAAATAGAAGTTGAAGAAGCAGTCATGTAGCAACCCCTCCTGCCTTCTTGAACTTGACTCAAGCCAATCAAGTAGACGAAAGATTGAAGGAAAAAAAAAAGAAAAACACTTTTACACATACCTGAACAATTCTTTCTGCTCCTATACTCTTTTCTCTTCAAGCATCTCAATGAGCCTGTGTGTGTGTGTGTGTGTGTGTGTGTGTGTGTGTGTGTGTGTGTGTGTTGTGTGTGTGTGTGTGTCTGTGTGTGTTTACAAGTCGAGGTGGACTAGCTGTGCTTACTAACACGGTGGGCTGTATTGAGAGGACGCCATCAGCGATTACGGTCACAGGGCAGAGTGGTGACAGCTTAAAGGCTCTTTTCTTTAATTCTCCACCCCCTTTGCTCACTGACACACCTCCTCTATGTGTATGTGGGAGTGTGTGTGTGCCAGGTCTGAACTGCACAGCTAAAGGCTCCGGGTCATTTTCCATTCAAATCAGGGGTACCGGCTGCCCTGGCCACCCTGCAAAATTTAAACACTCCTACCAGCTGAGGACGGGGAACAGGGAGCATCAGAAGCTTAACTGCGAGCCAGATTTAGGAAAATATTTGTGCATGCATACACCAAAATATATAGCCAAGGACACTTCCATACTGTGTTAAAGCAAGCCAAACACACACACTTATACACAGAGTCATGTGGGGTGGCCTTGGGCAATGGGAGGAGGAGGGGAAGAGAGCAGAGTCAGCCTTGCCCTCAGCCATGGCATCCTTTCCTTGCCAGCTCCATAAGCCTGGAGGGACTGAGGTAGAGGGGGTAGGGGGTGGGATCCATCCACCCAACCCCCCCCACAATTCACCCCTAAAAATGCACACACAGACACACAAACACACACACATAGAGAGCACAGGCCTCCAAGCAGACAGGCTTACAAAGGGGTGAGATCACTCTCAAATAAAGGCTTTGTTGGTGTGCCAGTGTCAGTGTTGCCCTCTCTGGCCTTGGCAGCTAGGTTCAGCCTGTCTGTTGGAAACAACGAGGACAACAGGGTGAATGCCTCAATGAAAAATATAGTTTCAGGAGATGTAGCAGGCATTCAGAAGAATAAAATAAAGGAATATGATAAATAAAGAGAGAGAAATGGAAACGCATCTGGCCCACTAGCCTGTTTTCCTATCATGGGACGGTGCACAGAGTATCTCTGGCCAAAATTTAAAAAGTAGTCTGATGTAAGAGTGTTGGAAATGCAGCCACAAGCACTAAAGTTCTGCCTGAGTTTAGAGTTAAAATTGAAATGAGCAGCAACATAAAGATAGTTACTGTAACTAAGCATGATGCAGCCCCCAAAGCCAAAACTTTCCACATTTAACAGCATTGGAAGAAAAAAAATCCTATGCCTATCGATGGTGTCCATGGCAACTAGATGGAGATCACGGAAAATAGACCAAGAGAGACAATATAGCCTGGAGTCAAGAGGACCACCTCCTCACCAACTCCCTGCTGTAGCCTTTAGACAACCTGCCATCAAGGTGTGAGGAAATAGCAAACAGTCAGGAAGAAAGCGAGTGGGAAAAGGAAGTATAATGTACAAGCCTGCAGGTGTTTCAAATTGAGCGTATTCTTATTCCTGTTGTCCTGCTTGGTCCATGCGAAGAGACCTGGCCTAGACAGCAGGCCAGACGTCTACTGCACAGACACACACACACACAGACTCTCTCTCACTCTCTCTCTCACTCTCTCTCTTTCTCTCTCTCTCTCTCTCTCTCTCTCGTCTAATTTCACTGATACAGATAGCTGCTTCTTCCTCTGACCTCCTTTAATTTGCTCTCCCTCCTTTTACTGAGGAATGGAGAAAAAAAAAAAAAAAAAAAAAAAAAAAGGAGCGCTCTCTTGTTTCCTCTCCGGGACTAAACAATCCCAGTCTAATTTATTTTTTGAGGACAGAATATGTACATGTGTTAATGGGAAAGTCGAATCAAATTAACTATAATTAGTCAAACTGAGAAGTGAGCAGAGGCAGAGGTATGTTACATGGGAGACTTGTTCAATGCTAGCAAATGGCACCCCTCCCCACCCTTCCCAAAAACACACACACACACACATACACACACACACACACACACACACACACGCACATACACACACATACACACACACTTCCTCTGCCACCTGCTGCTGTACACCCAGCTACGCCACCCTCGCCTGTGCTTCGACACCCGTCACGCTCACTTCAACCCTCCTGAGCTCAGACTGCATGTGGCACGCAAACATGCAGACACCAAACTAGTTGTGTTGTGACACATTTTCAAAAAAAAACCTGCTTGTGAAATTCGCAAGCGGTGGATCCTGACTCTTCCAATCTCGTCAAAAAGACATTAACAGACATCTTATGAGGTGATGCTGTAATCTGTTTGGACAGACACTGTAGTGCAGAATTATGAAGACAAGCGGTGGAAGCAGAGGAAGAGATGGTATAGATGATCTAGAATTAATACAGTAAAGAAAGCAGACAACTACCACATCCTCAGTACCAGTTCTATTGGTCTTGGTCGTGTGGCTCTTAATTCTTTATATACTGTAGGTAACCAGTAATACAAACTCTATTAGATTTGTCATTTGTATCTAAAAAAATTATATTGACAATTTTACCGATAAAAACACCCTCATATAACACATAAAATAAAATTACACACAGCCCAAGTGTAAACATCAAAGGAGGAGTCCAGTGACAAATCCAGACTTTTTGACTTGATTATGGATCAAACCCCCAAAACCCTTGATCCTACATTTCCTATACTGACATTAATTGCCAGTAATAATATTGTTAGATCCCCCCCATGGCAGGAAAAAACCCATGTCTTTGAAACTCCACAACCCCAGTTTGAACCCCATGGGCATTCTGCTTAAAAACTGAAGTCTCCGATCTGAACCCTGATAACATTATCAGGGTTAATTTTTCAGACTTTGGAAAGCTTCCTCCAGAACCACAGAAGACATACAACTGCTTTCACAGGCTGAGTAGTAATCTGTGTGACTGTGGAGGAAAAAAAAAAAAAAAAAAAATCTGTGGAGTGTCCCTTTAAAAGCCTCACCATCAACAGGTCCCTCACTCTACCAGGAGGCTAGTTACGATAAAACTGGCCCTGTTAATAAGGTCGAAAGCAGCATTCAATCTGTCAGTAAGCTCCGCTACATTTGTTGGCTACATTAAATTGAAAGCTTGTCTTGGCCACAGCAGCAGTGACATGCAGCCCACCACTGTAGTAAATCATTAGCTAAATGGCTAATTCTACAGATTAGCTCTCTTGGCAGCCAACTGGCCAGACAAGTTAAAGGTGTTTTATTTTAACATTATATGATTCCATCAATGTGACAGAGACCATTTGGTTTAATGAATCGTTTCAAGGAAGATGGATTACATGAAGACATATAAAAAACAGTTGGGTATATCCCATCCAATTAGGAAATATAAACATGTAACACCCAGTTAGAGTGGCAATTTCTAATTGAACTGCCTAAGTAATGGCACTGACAAAAACTAAAGTGTAAAAATGAAAAATCTGGTCCTATTTTGATTGGCAGTCACAGTAAAAGCATTAGTCTAACCTAATAAACATGCACCTGGATACACAAGGGAGTTAATTTTCTTTTTAATCCATTTATGGCTGGTTTCCATAAATCACTGTATGTGAGCAGACCACCCAGAAAGATAGTTCTGCATTTTAATATTATGTTCTTTTTCAAGTAAAAAGGCAGCAAAAAATTCTGCTGGAATGGTGCATTCATGTGCGTCCATACAATGGAGGGATGGATGGATTAGAAAAATGACTCTCTTCTTATCACAAATTACTATGAATGCAATGCTGCAGCCAACTGTTAAGTATAAAGTTTACCACCCCGAGGGCCAAAAACCAGATATACCTCCAACCTATGCAAAAAGCACAACCACTCCCAAGAGTAGTGATGTGTCACTCGGCCAACATGTTCAAGAAATTGTTTGGAATTGTTTGGAAAAAAAAACAATATTATTCTATTATTTAGGTAATATAAAGATACATTTTGAGTTAATTCATTTTTAATAGTGTTAGATCACATCAACTTACACTCTAAAGCATGGATTGGGGTGTACTGGTGAAGTTTACCCACCTGCGTGCTCCAGTAGCATTTTGGCGATGTCCATGTGTCTGTTGAGCAGGGCATCCTGGAGTGGGCTGACTCCACCCACCTGGTTATTTAGCACAGGGGCGGGGTGGTGACGTAGCAAAGCCTCCACACAAGCAGTGCTGCCATGATTACATGCTTCATGCAGTGGCGTCCAGCCTGCATGGTCTACATGATCAACAAACCAAGCACATACACACACATAAACACAAATTATTCAATTGGAAACTGTCATCTGGTATGTTTTCAGGTTAAAAAGGTTAAATATATCTTTATAAAGATCTCTGATACTTAAAGCTATCAAGCAGTTGAAAAGGTATGTGCATCTCCCAAAGTGTGTCTGTGTCATGATGAAAGATTAAAGATTTGGAGAAATTTGTGAGAATTGTAACGCGAGTGGACTAACCTAATCTGTCACAGCTAAGTTGTTGGTTAGCTCTGAGAGGTAACAACTCAGTTAGCAAGTAAGCTAGCAGGGGCTAATTGGAGGACCTCAGTACAAAACCTTTGGGAAATTGAATAGAGACACATCGCAACGTGATTAAGTGGCACAGGCTATATACACGCAACACCATACTTTGTACTATGCATGTTTGCTAATTTTTTAAAGAACTTAAAAAAAAGATCAATGGTTTATCTGTCTTTTCCATTGCCACTAGACAAAAGACATTAGCATGTCTGAACTAAGGGTCCTAAAGACCGTTTAAGTATAATCACGGTGCCGTTACACTGTTTAAAATTCTTGTGTGAGTGTTATTTATAAGTAACTAGTCACTGTTAACATACGTCACACATGAAAATCTGAATTTCCAAGAAACGTTAAACTAGTTTAGTCCATCTTTTCATGTATTACAGCGTTCTTTACAGAATTTAAACATGGATAAATAAGTCCTGAGGAATAGAAAATAGCCCATCACGATGTAGATCTGTTCTATCTGACATGAAAGGACTCCAAACAAAAAAGTTATGCCTGAGTTAACACGGGCCTCATTTTGTGAGACAACTGCAAGGTGACAGCGGTAATTTTAACATTTAGCCTGTAGTTCTGCCTGATCAGATTTTGGACATCACCTCTTGCATAAGTCTACTTAGATGGAAGTTAATTAGACTGTTACTAAAGGGCAATTACAAAATGGGGGAAACCTTTGAAACAACATAACATTTTCATAAAAGGAGGGTAAGTCATTATATTTGACCTAAAGAGACAAAAGTAAATCACTCTGAAATATCAAAAGGTGTTCAATTCACTTAGCAAAAAGACCCTAAATCTATGAATCTGAACCCCCACACCCAACGCGCTCTTCCTGGACACACCCTTTACATTTTAGCTAAAGGTTAACCTCAATGACGCACACGCTCTCCTATTTCATCTCGCCTCTTTTTTTTTTTTCTCCAATGTTAATCGCTTCTCGAAACCCTAGAGCAAACAGGGGGAGTGAAGTGAGATGACGATGAGACAGAGGTTACAGAGAATGGGAAAGCGAAAAAGTCTTACCTTTAACGTTGACGTCCGTGCCAGGAAGCGCCAGGATCTGAAGCACTGTTTCCACTTGGTTCCTCTTGCAAGCTCTGTGGAGGAGGGTCTCTCCTTCGACCAGGACACACACAACGGACAAGCACACCCAAAAGGGAGAAGAGGCGGAAGAGAAGAGAGAAATCCAAAATTAGGGTGTGCCCGATGTCCTGCCCATTGTCCCCCTCCATATGGTGAACACACCAATAAAATACCACAGAAAAGTCCCCAAACACCAAAAAAAAAAAAAGCCTGACCTAAAAAAGTACGACCCGCCAATGAGGATGCGATTTAAGAAGAGTGATGAGAAAAGGGGGGAGATCTTTCAAAGGGAAAAAAATGGGAGGGAAAAAATTAAAGATGGAGAGTTGGGCTAATTCGCCTCGTTCTTTACCTCTTTTATAGACACAGAGATTTTCCACTTACACCCCGAGCCCAACAAAGTTAATATCGGGGCAGTCGGCGAGTGAATGAATGTGGTGGTGAGAAAGTAGTCTCGCTTCCTGTCCGCTTGTCCCTACATTGTTACTTGAGAGGAAGTTATGGTAGACAGCCCACGCACAAAGCCTTCGAAAAGGATTCTTCACAGATCCAGGGTTCAAAAGCTCCGCTGGGCATTGCCAGTGTCACCACGTGATATTTAATCAGCAAACTAGCAGTGAACAGGCATGGAAAAAACCTCTCAAGGATTCCATTTACATTTTTAAACACAACCCCCCCCCCACTCGTCCCTTTTTTCTCATCTTTACCCCGTCCCTCACTTTTTCTGATACAATATTAAATCAGGAATATATTAGTGGGCCAGAGCCCCCTCTTTTCATGTATGGCTGAACTTCAGAGGGAAGTTAAAGGCCAAGCATGAGTGGCTCTGTGCTTGCCAGTATAATACAGGACTGCAAAGCCTGTAATAAATGCTTTACTAGCTCTCCCCAGGATGCCACGCCTGTACAGGGGCTCCACTCCAGCGCACACAGAGCACATACTGGGGCAAAAAGAGGTGGAGGAGGAGGAGAGGGAGGGAGGAAACAGGGGGGCAAGGAAGAAGAAGCAGTGGAGGAGAGAGTGAAAGGGTTTCCTGCATTTCAAAGCGTGTAGGGGAAATATTGAAAAAAGCTGGATCCTATTCATTCTGAAGAATTCCTTTCTTCCAGGAGGTGTCTTTGAGGATGCAGAAGATGCATTAAATGCCATCCGCCAGTAGTAAAGAGGTTGAAGAGCAGATGAAAAAAAAACCCCAAAAAAACATGGAAATGGAAGGACTGTTTATCAAAAGGAGGATCATCTGTGTTCTCCCTAGAAATCCAATGCAAAACCAAGTTTTGAAAAGCACCTCAACATTTGCAGACATATGATAAAATATTTCTCAGCACATCTCAGTTATCAATGTTGTTGATGTACAAACCTCTACAAACCAAACCTCTATGAATTAGATGGATTATTGGAGTAAATGGTTAATGGGTGGAGCAGTCCAGCGCTGGGGCACCACTTTACACCAAACTTCAAACCAAAGTATGTTTATGTTGCGTCATATAGGTGATCCTGCAGGATTATATAATTAGAGTATTTCAGTCGCTATTGAATAGACTGCTTAACGTTTAAAAAGTGTCATAGAATAACTGCTGTTTGACAGTCAATGTCAAGTGAAAAATAGAAAGACAGATACAAAAATAGTCACTTATTTTCTGTACAAAAAACAGTGAGAACACAAACGGGCTTATGACGCAGGTACTTAACTGCAGCTTATTTCAAGCACTTTGTTAGGTTGCTTGTACGTAATTTCAATAGGCAACTTTATAAATTATATTTTTACTAGTTCAGTAACTGTACTGTGATTAAACAGTAATGTCTCACTTCATAACCTGGAATGATTTGTCTGACAACTTAATTGCTAAAAAAATAAATGACTTCTTTAGTGATATTTTGCCGATCTGATTTTCCTTCTGGAAATATACGTTGCACTGTAAAAAAAAAATCATATTTAAATGACAGTGCACAGTTGTTTGCGACTGTAACGTCAGAAAGCAGACAGTGTTTTTACAGCATCGGCATCAGTAACAATAATGAGGCCAATCAATGAAGAAAAACCAACATTTCCAATCTAAAAATCAAAAACACCCAAACTGAGGGTGGAGCGCAGACCGAACTACAGTCCCTAATGAGTAAGCTGTACTGTGTGGCACGTCAGTGTTCTGACATGGGCTGCTCTGCTATTACTGGGCTCTAAAATGCTGTGATTAAACACCCATTCCACTACACCCCATGTGTACACATCCTCGCAAATGCCAGGACCAATCCACGCACTGTTAAATCACTTTAATGGCTCCAATTTGGACACAACGCCTCTATTATAGGGGTAATTGCATGCTCAGCATTTACAAGCACGGAAAGGATAAATCCGCCTGTCCTTTTCTATAAATCCCCCGTTTCACACTTTAATAGAAAAGTTAAATGTATGTGTTGGTCTTTATATCCCTCAGTCTGCTTGCTGCACTCCTGTAAAGTGTCGCTTGGTCTGCCGATCCTCGGACCAAAAAGCTGCTGGAAGCCTGTAACAATGCTATTTTTCAGGAATGTGTTAGAAAGGTATTCTGTGCCAGTTATTGGATATATTTAAAACTATTTGAAGACTACTGCTGTTCGTGGCTCAGAGTGCAGCGCGTTAATTCCTCAAAATCAAGATTAAATGCAGCTCTCACTGTGCTTCGAAAGAATTTATAGCCCTTAACATAAGTGACCAACATTTAAAAATTCCATTGGTGAATAATAATTTAATAATAATTCAATCATTTAAAAAAAAGAAACAACATGAGTCCTCTCTGCCAACAAGAGGTGATGAGACACAAACTCAAAGTGTCTCTTGAACAGAAGTAAGAAAATCCTAAATATAAAAGCTTGATCCACTGTGGCTTGGATTGTACATTGCTTTGGACAGAGCTGAACAACTGTAAATAAATGTGAATAATATGAAAGTCAGGCTCACAAAAGACTTTGCGTCTGTTGTCTTTTGTTATACTGAACATATATTTCCTATTGATGGCACATATAAGAGCAGTAGTGAATGTTGGCATTGATCAGAATCAATATTCACCACAAAGAAATCTTTTAATTCACTCGTTAGACAAACAGATGATAAACTAGAGAGTTAAATCAAATGAAAACCACTGAGGCAGTGTTTCCACTGGCCAATCACCACATAGACTTCTCAGGTAGTTTACAGTATGTTCCTGTCTCGTTCCAGCCAACTCCAGATCATGCTGATGACCACAACGGGAGTCGAGCTACAGTTCAGTTCCAGTTTGCTTGAGCTGATTAGATATCCACTCAGGCTGAAGCTGGGTGGAGCTTTACTGGAAATTACATAAAGTAGACAAACTGATATGAACATGTACTGATATGAATAAAAAAGATAAAAGTGGGTCCACCCTCACATGTGCAACAAAGCTTATAAATACGTGAGGGAGATGTCAGTCAATCACAATTCTGTAGAGCAGAGATTGTGATAAAATATTTGTTTTGAGGTGAGACTGTTTTGCCAAGAGCTGTTTGCAAGGCCAAGTATGAACTTTCAGTCTCAACTTTTAAGCCAACACAGTTGAGAAGGCCTTAAAATGCTCAGAAATATGGATCTACAATCCTACAGCAGCTGGGCAAACTGTCAGATCAACAACAGCTACTAATGGATCTTGTGGTGAGATTATGTCTGCCAATATCTGTCAAACTTAAAATCAATAAATTCTTACATACGTCCGTCAGAGCAGTCTCAACAGTCTTCTGACAGCGTTCAACACACTCGAGTAGAACAAGAGTTACTCTTTGATCAAATAAAGCAACCGCTTTTCTAATAGTTACCTTTCTTTGTTGGATAAAGTTGCTTTGTGTAGCTTCAAGGTTTGTCTCAGGAATGATATGAAGCTAGAAACAAACAGATTTTAAGCAGTGGAAAACACACAGCGCAGTTCTTGTTTGACGACCTACAGACACTATACTGAGGCCGATTTAAAATGAAATCTCTGCTGAGCTTCTAGAAGCAAATATGGGACTGAACAAGAGAAGTTCATCCCAAATCCCTCAACCCCTCTCAGCTACTGTGACAAAGATACCGAGGTTCCAGCAGCCGAGACAGATGCTCCAAAGAAGTGCAGCACATAAGAAAGCGAGCTTACATATGTGGGTGAAAAAGCCTGTAAGAGAAAGAGAGGAAGAGGGTGAGAGAGAGAGAATGGGATGAGAGGGCGAGAGGGGAGGATGCTGTGCCGATGGTTCATCAAAAATTAATGCCGACCGCATCGGTATAGAGATCACGTAGTGGAAAAACAACACATGCCAACAGCCTTGAGTCTCCTGCTTCAGCCCTACCTCCCCCACTCCCACTCCTTTACCCTCCACCCCTCCTTCACACCGGCACAGGGCCTTTCTGATCAGGTGGAAGGGGGAGATATGAGCTCTGACACCTTCGAGAGTTCACACAGAGTACCATGCCTCTAATTGCAGGAAGTTCCACCAGTGCAGCCGCTGTACATCTGCAGTGCAACCCTAATTGCTGCATTTAATATCCCTAAAATGGAGATCTGAGGCACATTGTGCGTACTAATATGCGTTATTGTTTTGTGTGAGAAACCCATTATTTCTGTCCGGGCCATTTATTTATTTATCTATTACTTTTTCAAAAGGTAAATAAGACATGAGAAAAAAAAAACAAAACAAAGAGCGCAGTGTTGAATTTAAATGCGAATAGAACAAGTGGAGGAGGAGGCGTGATACAGAGGAGGTAATACGGTCCACACTTTGCCCCGAACGTACACGACAGGCCTACTTATGCAGCAAAGTTGCCCTTACAGCTGACTTGATGGAAGCGTGGTCGGATGCAAATCAATCACTCTCTCCATACATTATGTGCTCTTCATTAAACTGAAAGTGATGACAGAGCTATCATGTCCCTCTTTACTGATGACCTAGTGCAGTGCATCAGTCCATTAAAAGTCCACTCCTTGCAAATGTGAAGCTATATTGTCAAGGGGCTGTGTGTGTGTGTGTGTGTGTGTGTGTGTGTGTGTGTGTGTGTGTATGTATGCGCTGTACCTGCTGCATTGACTCTGTTCAAACCTCTGGGGATGTTTTCTTTCTCCAGGCTTGTTTCATTCACCAAAGAGCTCTGGGTTCTGTATGGCAACAAAGGACATGGTCAGAGGGGTTATGAGAAGATATACATGTATGTACTAAACCCAATTCAATAAGAGATCACCCGTGATTCACATAAACAAGTCCAGCATCTCAATCACTGACCATTTCAGCATGACAGCGAGGAGAACCAGTGGTACAGAAAGTGGAACGGGCAATAGTGTACTGCGAGAAGTGCCATTAGCAAATGAATCCCTTGTGGCGCCATATCATCTTATATGAAATCTGACAATATCTGTCAAACTCCTACTGTGTTGGCCACACACACACACACACACACACACACACACTGCACACACCCAATCCTCCATTCCCGTCTCCAAAGCACTTTTCCTCCCACTTATCGCCTCAAACACAGAGACGGAGAATTCGATGTGAGCAAGCACATTAGGAGGAATAACTAGTAAAAGAAAGTGAAGCCTCTTCAAAGTAGTGGCGTGCTAATAGCTGTGGGCTGTCACTAGTCCTGTGAGTGGGTATGGGAGATCTGCCTGCATGAAGCCTGACAGGTGTCTTGTGTGTAGACGTCTGTGCACGTGCGCGTGCGTCGCCTTGAAGCGCAGTGCCATCCGTATTACAGGGAAGAGGCTTGTTCCCTGGTAATTGGCTTGTTCAGAAGCCAGGAAGGAGCTCCCAGCAGTGAGGAGGAAACACACGTCCTGTCACGCGTTGCTTGTTATTAGCAGGGACAAGGCTGAGAAGAGATGAGAAGAGCTGTGTGTGTGTGTGTGTGTGTGTGTGTGTGTGTGTGTGTGTGTGTGTGTGTGTGTGTGTGTGTGTGTGTGTGTGTGTGAGAGAGAGAGTCCATAAGAGTGTCTAGAATGAGGGCGTACCACTTCTCATCTCAAACCACTTCACCCGAGTGTCCCCTGTCCATATAGGCTGGCAGCTTTGGAAGTTGACAGTACTTGGCTTGTATACCCCCCAGTCTCTCCTTCCCTCGTGGCGTACTTTAGGAGGCCAGCATGCTGTCAGTGGCCCAGTGATCATTTCTGGGCCTGGGGCAGCATGTGCCTTTGGAGGCCGACTTTCAACAAACTTGTGAGCAGTAATGGAAGTAATAAGGAAGTGCATGTCCAATGCCACGGCAAGAAGAGGCTACACATTACATTTTCTACTTGCTTTGATTCTACCAAAAAGGCCATAGCAAAAATAAAACCTCCAACTGTCCTTGTTACCATCCATTGTTTAATCTTAGCAGGGCTGATCTATTTTATAGGCTTTTCTTAGATCCACCTGACACTGACTAATTTTAGAGTGAAAGACAACAGGAATGCACAGAGCTTGATTAAGCCAGCAGGAGGAAAACCCTAGTTTAATTACAGCTTCCCCTCTTCAAAAAGCCCTCACTGCCACGCAGCCAGCCGGCAAGTCAAACGGCCATCTAAACAGTCGGTCAAATCAGCCATCCTCTCAGCTTGGTATGGCTTGGACATGTGCCCTAATGCCAGGCTGTCTCTTGGTGCAAAAGAAGCACACTCTCCATCTCCAAGACTACAGCAGCCTCAAGTCACAGTAAAACAAGCTAATGCGTTCTAACAGCCAGAAATGAAAGATAAAGGGGTCATGTGGCTCCTCTCAACCTTTATGACCCCCTTTTCATAAACCCAATACCCGACATCTTGCCAGGATTTTGTCTTATCCATCAGTATTGACAGTTTGAAAAGGCAGCTACAACAAAACTGTAACCATTTAACACCAATACTTCTCTATTAATGAAACCACAATCACATTTATGCTGTTTAAAAATGTTTTTTTTTGTCTTGTAGCACTATGAATTACTGACAAGTGTATACCAACAACATACTTGATTCCTTTTTTCTTTTTTTCTTTTTTTACTGAGTCATATCAGCTCCGACAACATAGAGAAATATATGTAAATGAAAACATGTAGAGATTGAGGAATGTGTCAGACTCATGAATGCTTCAACATAAGTTAATTGATTAAAAGTGTCAACATCACTGAAAATATGTATAATATCATGAATTCAACCATGAAAAAGGAGGAAACAAGATTTCCTTTTGGTTTCTGTTCCCAATTTATCACAGGCTTTGTCATTTTGATTTCATTCTTTCTTTTAGGGTCAAATGATTTTACATGCCCTTTGGCATTTCTTTATCTCACCCGCACAGATTGCATTCCTTGTTTTATTCAGTTCTTCTCATGTCTATGTCAAAATAAACAAAATTATGGGCAAAGCAAGGAAGGAGACAGTAGAAAGAGAGCAGTGATTGAGGGAAGAGGGGATCTGGTCTGGTCAGTGCATGAACCAGTAGCCTTCACATGAACTTGCTCCCTGGTGACTCCTGCCCTTCTCCAGGCCAACTACCTGCTGGTGGAAGAGCAGATGTCTGACATGGGGTATGGAGAGTGTGTGTGTGTGTGTGTGTGTGTGTGTGTGTGTGTGTGTGTGTGTGTGTGTGACTGCATTCAGAAAGGGATTTAGTATGCAAGAGGGAAGATCAAGAGAGGCGCAGAAGGGAGGGGGGGTTTGAAGGCAGAGAGCTGGTGGTCGTAAGGGAAGACACAAAGGCCTGATGGGATATCCTAGTCTGTCGATCTGTTGACTTCCTGTCCAAATCAGACTCAGCACTGTGTGTGTGTGTGTGTGTGTGTGTGTGTGTGTGTGTGTGTGTGTGTGTGTGTGTGTGTGTGTGTGTGTGTGTGTGTGTGTGTGTGTGTGTGAGGAGGGGTCTAACCTCCCTTTGCACCCCTTCTGTCAGCCAGCACTCACTGATACGATCAGACCTGGGCATGACCCATCACATGCCAACTCCTCACACTCCGTCTGACCTCCATTTGCCTCTCTCCAGCCCCCCCCCCATTCACACACACACACACACACACATACATACACACTCCTCCCCTCTCCAGGTGTTCCTGTTCCTTTGTTCCTTTTCACTCACATTTCTCATCGTATCTGGACATTTTCACCGGCTTTGCCTCACGCTGTCTGGCCTTAAATCTATGAGTGGAAACCTGACAATGGAGGCAGTGTAGATCGCTGGTTGAATAGTTCTGTTATTTTAGACGAACAAGCCAACAAAGACGGGAAAGAGTGATACAACTAATTTGACAGGATGGCAGAAAGTGGCAGATTCTCTTTTACAGCTTCAGTGAAATCTGACCAGCAACATGTATACTGTTACACACCCATTTTTGTAAACGGTTCAACTCTCAAATGGTGCTGTGGGCACACTGTGCTTTAAGAACACAATGTTTTGAGGAAGCAAAAAAAAAAACACGCAATGACTGCATGTATTACAGTCTCAAAGGTTAGGCATCTGGACATGTACATAGACTCTAGGTTTTCCCCTGCCTATTGAAATCTATCTTTACTCTAAGTTTTTTTTTCAGCCAAATAAAAATGAGTTACAAGAGTTTGAACAAGAGAGAGAGAAGAGCAAAGGACTTGCAATAAACTGCACACACACTACATTTGAAATTTCCAGGCTGATCTTTAAACACAAGTAAATTTACTTATGTTTAAAATGCAGCCTAGTACAAGAAACTGAAATGAGAAGGAACTTGAAGAGGAAAAAATATATATGTAAATATGTTCACATTGGTTAAAAATGTTTTTAGAGTTAAAACTTATTTGCCTTTGTGCAGCCCACTTCTCTGCATCTATGTCCTCGCGTGTTCTGCTTCAGGCTCTTGTGAAAATGTACCAGGGAGACTAACAGTGGTACAGACAGACAGCTGCGTGTAACTGACCTGCAGCCAGTCTCCTGGCTGGTGCAGCTGTGGGAGGAGGGTCCAGTCCTGAGGCGAACACCACTGGGACTCTCAGCTAAACTTCCCAGAGCAGGCAGGTAGAAGAGAACCTGAGAAAAGTCACACAGACACAAAGTTAGACAGTACCTTTACACTTCAAGTGAATATTTGTGTCTTTAGGGGGCTGAGGAGGCACAAAGACAGCAACGGTGAGTGAGAAAGCCAGATGTTCTACTGCAAAATAATATAATGTTTCGACCACATCAGTAATCTTTGTCTCTGTAGCAGCGAACTGTAATATAATCTATACAGTTTTCACACTGCCAAGTTAACTAATGCAGAACATCTGTGTTTTATGCCTCTTAACCACAATGCAAAAGCACAGTGGAAAGGGAAAACTAAATAATTAGAACTAGTGCATTTATCAGAAACATTTTAAATTAGTAATGTAGCTAGTTTATTCAATTATTTTATTAATTGTTGCATTAATTGTTTTCATACAAACATTGGTGTGTGTAGTGTGTATCCGAATTTTATAATCTTGCACTCTCTTATTTCACCAGAATCACATTGGAAGAAATTAAAATTTTCCCGTATGTGAACTGAAAATGGAGACTTAAGAAGTGCATGTCTCAAATTATGACAAATTAAGTCTATCAATGGCAAAACACCCATGCAATACAGGGCTGATGAAAGCAGTTAGAAAGTAATGGGAAATCAAATGAAGAACAATACACACACACACACACACACACACACACACACACCATTTTCTTAAGAGAGAGGGGTTCATCTCCCACAGTGAATCCATTTCTGCAACAGAGATTCCTGAATATGGCATCAGCCATCACCAACTTCAGTCTGGTAGAGGAGACCCTGATCACCAGCTCTGCCAGAACATCTGGAGGCACATCTGCAGGACAGAACAGAGGGTAAATATATAAAACATACTATACTGTCCGTAATTACTTTGTCTGAAAAAAGCAAGTGGACTTGGGAGACTTTAGAGACAAGAAACACTTCATTTAAGTGTTGCATAATTAAATATTCAGAAATTACGATGCTAATTTTTCATCTGAATACTGTGATTGAATGACTTAATGTATTTCATTGTGCATTCTATTTTCACATTTTTTTCTAAAAGCAGTAGCAGCTGAAAAGTAACAAATTTTCTTCTACTGTATTAGTCTTCTTGCGATTAACACACACACAGCACACAATATGAAATTTAAAAAGGGAAGGCCATGAACCCAAGGCCAACATCTACACACGTGACATTACCACAGCAGAGCTTTCAGGGGAAGTGAAAACATTCTGCAGTTTTTATTCCATACCCTGGCTGATGACAGCAAAGTGCTCTGCTAGGTCTTTCAGGCCCTTTTCCACCAGGTTCTGGTTGAGTTTGCAGTGCTGCTGACACCAGAACTCCACCAGCACAGACAGGATGTCCAGCAGAGTGTCCGCCAAATGCAGCTTCTGTTTCTCATCCCTCTCACTGCAGTCCTTCAGTGAAGATAAACAATACCATCTTCAGGTTCATCATCACACTCATTAACAAGCTCTAGGGATTACTGAAGATGAAGCTATAGTTTGTTAATCATGTCAGATTTTAACAAAACAAACGACCCAACTGGCAAATACAGATCAAAATAAACCTACTTTTGTTAGTTGTCTAGCGTCTAAATACTAGTGAACACACCGTCCTATGAGAATGTCAATACACAAGTTTACCTCAACGGCGGCCTGCACCACGAGCTGGGTTAGTTGTTTCACAGCTCGAGACAGCAGGGTGGAGCGCTCCCACACAGTCCAGAAGGTTCCATACAGCAAAGATCCTGACGCTGATGCCTGAGAGACTCCTGTACCCTGAGGCAGCACAAAATCCCTGATCCCCAGAAAGGCAGGGGTAAATGAAGGAAGGACAGACCATCTAACGTAACTGATAAAATGATTTACTTTAAGAACAGAAAAAGTGGCATGAACCCTGAATTAAATTTAGAGTCAACATTACATGCAGCTGTATTGTGGTATCAGAAAATTATTATTGACTATTATTTGACTGCTTAATCATTTGTAAGTAATATGCATTCATATGTGTGGGAAAATCCCTCCAGAACCAAGCTCATGCAAGAAAGTTTAAAAACTTAAAATAAAAAGCAAATGTGTATGTGTAAATTGGTACCCGGTGGTGACAGAGTGGAGCTCCCCCTGGAACAGCCGGAGAAAAAATGCCACGATGTCACTATGGAAATGTATCAGTGTTGGCATTGCAGGTCCAGGGAGTGGGTGACAAGTGACCTCACTGGACAGGCAGTATCTGAAGGAATACACATATAGAGAAACAGTAAATATATGAGAAAATGACTTTTAATGGAAGAGAGGGTTTAAGTATCTCTTTTACCTAACCTCTTAACAATTAAAACTGTAAAATCATTTGCGAGAATAATTCAACAAGAAATCTCATGTGGCATCAGGATTACCTGATGGCTGTCTCTAGAAAAGGCCAAGGGCCCATCTTACACCGAGGACACTGCAGCAACTGGATGAAATATTTTTTCACTGTGCTGGGAGCCAGCCAAGGAGGGTTGGTGATGAGCAGGTTACACATGACCAGCTGGAAATTTCTTAGGAAGACAGACGTGGCGTTACCCTGTGACATAATGAACACACAACAACTGAAGTTTGAGTGGTTTTGATATTTGTATGTACAGACAGAATGTGAAATAACAGCAGAGCTGCAATGATTATGGCAGAACATGAACTGGGAACTTTAAATAGAAACTTCTCAAATGTGGATAGATTTGCTGCTGTCCTTTGTTTAATATCGTTTTAAACTGAACCTCATTGGGTTCTGTTGGTTGCACAAACCGAGGCATTTGATGATGTCGCCAAGGACTCATGGGGAAAATGTGATGTGAAATTTTTCCAACATATTCTGATATTTTACAGACATAACAATTCATTAAAAAAGTGTTTATCGATAATAAAAATAATTGTAAAATTCTGGCCTAAAGTGAAGTTTAATCCATTGAGACTGATCCCAAAAAAATACACCAAAAAAGACGGCTATAGCAGGTTATACTTTGAAACAGCCCCTGGGGCTCATGCAGCAGCAGGTGGGGATTGCTGCAGTCCGGTAATTCTGGTCCTACCTGCTGCGCGTATTCTAAGAGGGAGATCAGGTATGGCACTGGTGGCAGCAGACCTGGGAACACAGCACTTCTGATTGAGTCCAAAGCTTCAGTGAAGAGACCGCACTCTATCATACTACCGACATTGCTGAAGTCTGTTTCTGTTGCCTGGAGGAATAAAAGAACAATGATGAAATGTAAGAGGTATACGGAAAGGAGGAGAAGACATGGCACTCAAAGAGACGGGCGGCAGAAAGAGGAGATAAAAAGCGAGGGCAGAAGGGTAATGGAAATAGGAAGTGAATGGGCATAAAAACTTCCTGGGGGTCATTTCTGACTGTCACTTATTGGCAAATAGCATCTGAACTCAGAAAGTACAGAATGGAAATACATGAGCACTTATAATAGCAATCTGATGGAGATCCACTTGGGTAAAGTATGGACAAGACGGTGGAAAGTATTGTTAATAGGACTGCCAATCAAAACTCTCAGATCAGCTGACAGTAGTGGTTAAATAGATGACCTGAGTATGATGCGCCCTTGCTCTAGGTGTCGCTTTCCATTGAAATGTATGACATAAAGGAAATTGAATGACCTGATCTTCTTGATGAAACACATAGTTATTTTAGAAATGTATAGTAGTGATCGGGGGGGGGGGGGGGGTAGAGGGATATGCATGTCTACCTGTGACTGTGGACGGTAAGGGTCTTGGTAACCCAGAAATTCAAGGAAGCACAATCTCTGCCGGCCCTATAGAAAAAGACCTCATTAATAAGTGTCGACCCATGCAAAGCGAACAGAATGTAGAATGAGTTTATTAAATGTCTATTTGAAACTACGCTTCAGTGCATCTCTGCAACATGCTTCCACACACAAACAAACATACATATGCACCTCCTGTTTGATGACATAGTCCCTGAGCCCTGTCTCCAGATTAGCAAGGTCAACATCAACAAAGCTGGCCTTTTTTGTCTCTGCTGGATTTTCATCCGTTACGAGGAAATTCATATCCACACAATTGCTCTGTCAAATAAAACAGAGGCACAGTTTTAATATGAACTGTTAAAATAACTGGTTTGAAAAAATCAATCAGAAGCAAAATAAATGCCTGCAAGACATGAATACTGACTGCAAATACAACTGAGGACCACATACAATACAATATTAAAAATTAAACAGTAAAATTATGACAATAACATGATGAAGTCTCATAATCAATTAAGACAAAATCTTTTACATAAATTAGTCTGACTTACCCCAAAAAGATGCTGGACAATGTGGCTCACAGAGTAACAAGGAGCACTGTAGGATTTTGAGTTTTCTGTAAAGGGTTTTGCCATGACATGAGTGATGGAGGCTTGAGGGGGAGGGGTGGTGTTGTAAACTTTGGCCCTACCTGCTTTTAGCAGCCTGTGAAAGATTAAAGAATAATATATTTATTGTCATACTTTGCAGCTTTTAGTCATACATGGATGCATTATTAAGGTATTTTTTGCGTGACTCCTCACCGTATGAACATGGCTCTGCGGGTGGGCTCTTGGACCATGAGGAGAACCTTCCACCCTTGGAATGCCCCGGTTAGTTTACCACTGACAACCTTCTCCCTCCACTGCCTGGCAGGGCAGAAGGCAGACGTGGCACCTGAGGAAATGGCCACCTCATAGGGTTCCTCTGAGAGCCAGGAACCGTGCTTAACACTGTCCAACACATAGTCTGGAGTCACAACCCACTTTCCTAGTTCAGTCAAATGAAAGGGAGAACAGTGGTGCTGTGTCAGTCTTGGCACTTCAAAAGAGAAGAGCTACAGTGACGTGTTGGATGTAGCTCAGTTAGATGAGCGGTCCTGATAGAATCAGGGCGATCATGTATGATTTATTTTTAAACATTCATCATTATCATCATTATAATAATTATCCTGACTGACCTGCAGCACAGGCTGCCAAAAACTTTTCGCTGGACAAAACCTGGGGGATTATGAGATGAGTGCTGGCATGCTGATAGACCTGGAAGATAATCACCACATCAGTTTATGGACATACAATGACATAGAGCAGACAACCAGAACTTGGGTTTCAAACTAATGATCAGTGCAATTAATTCAATCAAAACTCTTTACATTTAATGAGCTTTTTAATCAAAATTTTCCTGGAATCATTAAATTGGATTAACAGGATTTTAAAATTACACAATGTGATCATTATGATACAAGTTGATAAATAATGATACAGATTTATTGTTCAACCCTACCTGTAGGAATTATTAAGAAAATTTAAGGATTTAAGCATAACAAGGGGCAATTTACATCATCTATCCAAAACTTCAATAACTATATGCAGAACCATGTCAGAAACAGAGGCAACCAGTAATTCATTGGTATGTATTTAAATCACACAGAAACATCATCAATAATGATAATAATGACGATTCACTGGATAACTTGATCAACGGAACATTGGCTGGATTTCAGTGTTCATCATTCATTGAGTAAATGTACTGACATGTGCTGGTTCTACAAAAGATTTGCTTGGTTTTCTTTCTTTGGGTTTTCAGGTTGCTGCTGAGACTAGTAACCAAAACTAAGACATCACTGTGGCATCTCTGGTTAAGGTGTGGAAGGCATCTCATAGACTGAATTATTATAAGATACATCAGAACAAAGCTTAGTTTAGGTTGAAACTGTCATTTTACCCTGCAATGTTTTGGTAGGATCTCTACTCACTGAGCCACCTATGTATTTCCCACCCAGCTGCTGGATTCCCCGGACTAAAACTCTCTTCTTATCATGGATCTTGATCCCAGAGATCTGGAATACAGGTGTGCAGCTCTCCATCCTGTAGAAGAGACACACAGTCTACAGGATGTTAATTAAATGTTAAGATAATCATGATAAAAAAATAAACAATGCTGCAATTCTGGTTTGACTACATTGCTTGGACAGAAAAACAGGAAGGAGACATTTGGGTTGTTTGAAGTACTTTATGTTAAGTATGGGGATTTCATTTGACTAAACTAGTTTAGTTTGAGACTAGCTACCTGCACGAAAACAAAACAATCGGGGTCTACTAAAACTTTCTGCTACATGAATAGTTCTAAAAAGCCAATTGCTACATGAATAGTTCTAAAAAGCCAAATCTTCACCTTTACGATCTGTGAGCTCAGTAAATGACCTAATATCTGCATCTTATGCAATCATCACTAATACCCACTTGTATTAAAACACAGCTGACTGATCAGGTACCTCTGTTATGGTGGTATGCCACCGTTGATGATTGTCCTCCCTGTTACGTACAGGCGCGCCAAAACTCTGACACTGACACCGACATCTAGTAACGTGAGCAGTGTTTGGTGCCAGTGTTTGGCTGCTTCTTCCAATAAAGATGTTCAACTTCGCGGACAGACAAACATGATGACTTTGCTCATAAGTTTTATTAATCGGTGGATATTGCTTAGATCCTCCAGTTTCTTCACCGCCCAACTGCCATGTGTTGGGAGCTTCACGGCACAGCTAACTATTTTGGTGAGGGGAGAATTTTCATATATTAATATATTGTGTACGCAGTGGCAACGTTTAAACGCCAGATTTCTATTGAAACCATGTAGAAATGCATTAAAACCATGCGTTATATGAAATTATATGTACCATTAGTTAAATTCATGTGTTATTCACTCACTATGGAGTCAACCTCCCCCTGTTTCGTTCGTCAGTTTGTCTGTTCCGTGGAGCGGAAGTTTTCATTGAGCTACTTCCAGGTTGTTGTCACGGACGCTTTCAGCCCCCGGAAACAACCAAAGTAACCGATTATCATACTGCACTGATTGATTAACGGAAATATCAGATCGATCGATAACATTGGTTTGATTCTGACCGAGACGCTGCTTATCAAAACGTACGTCTATTTACAGAAAGCGTTCAGTGCTGTGTTCGGTTGACGTTCAGAGACAGCGACAGATAAGCTTTCCATCACAGTCATTTAATTTTATTACGTTGTGACACATTTGCTGCTGAACTGTCTTGGTTTACAGCTTTGGTACAGATACAAATTTCTGTGGTAGACAAATGTCAGCAGTAAGTGACCGCAAATGACGCTGGCCACATTTCACCTACCTGCTATGGATTAACTTAATCAAGAGAGGAATATAAAGGAGCTTGTAAAAGGTAAGATATACAAATGATACACGTGTTGTCGCTCACAGTAAGGCTGAATCAGTGCAAATGTTCAAATATTTATGTTACACGGGTGCCACGTGAACATTTTGTAAAAAGATACAAGTGACCTGTCAAAATCAGCCAAATACAGTGTCAGTTCTTTGCCATGCAGAGACTAGCTGCTCCTGTGGTGTAAAGCATCTTTATGTGTCTGGTCAAAACACTTCGACAAGCAGGTAAAAGTCAATTACTCTGCATTAAAAGTCCAAGGACTCTCTCTGTCTCTGTCTCTGTCTCTGTCTCTCTCTCTCTCTCTCTCTCTCTCTCTCTGTCTCTGTCTCTGTCTCTCTCTCTCTCTCTCTCTCTCTCTCTCTCTGATGTGTTGCTTATGGCTAACACCAGATGCCAAATATTAGCTTGCTCAAGCTTATCAAATGTCATAATTTGCCTCTTTTTGGTTTTAGTCAGCTCATTGGACAAAAGTCAGGTCACATGGCAAAACACCACCATGAAAAGCAAGTAGACTACAAGTCAACAGCTGGACTCTCTCAGTGATGTGTTGAATCAATATAATTGTGTTTAATAACTGAAAATATTAGAAAAGAGTATTTTAAGATTTAAATGTTACCAAATTAGAAACAAATGAGATAAATATTGTTTACCTTTAGCTATTTGACAAACATAATCAAAAAAAATTGTGGTAATTGATCAATCGTTCATAGATTAATCATAGAAGTCATAAATGAAGAAAAAATACTAAACATTCTCAAGCTCCAGCTTCTCAAAGTTGGTGATTTTCATCCACCCTCTCTTTTAAACTGAAAACTTTTGGGCTTAGACTAAACTTTTAGTTGGACAAAACAAGAGGTTATACAATTTCACTTAAGGGTCTGCTAAATTGACATCATGAGTATTTTTCAATATTGTGACATTTTGTAGACTAAAAGTTACTGACAAGATATTTATTAATAATTTGAATTATTGTTACTTACATAATAATAATCCCTATTAAGCACTATGCTGATATATTTACTTTTTACTTCCCACATTTTCTTGTAGTTGTCAAATACAACCATGCAGCCTTTCTGTTTATGTAGTTGTATATGTCAGTTTACAGTTAATTTATGTTCTCGATAGTTCAAGTTTACTGAAATCCTGACCGTTGGGATGTAGTAAGCTACACAATATGATCTGCTCCAGTGTGACAATATTGTCTTGTTTTTCAGTGTCTGTAATTGACTGATTGCTCAGGGTACTTTAATACTGTTGAGTGATGATGATTATTCCACAAAACAGCAACGACAAGTAATATCAGGATTAAGTCATGTATTATTCATTCCCTCAGTGTAAGCTAATCACACAGGCATTTGTTAGTTGTTGCTCTGCAATTTTCAAACAATCTTACACAACATATTTCAAGAAGATATTATGTCCACATATTTCCCTGTAGTGAAGAAAAAAAGTGACCAATACATTTTAATAACATTAGTGTCGCCTACATTTAGCAGAAATATCACTAAATCAAACGTGATGAGACTAAAGCCCATCACTAAGCAGACAGGAATTACTGTAAAGAAGAAAATCAGTCAAACCCAGTGCAGTGTAACAGGACCACATGGCTGCAAAGTAACAGCGAAGCCATGTTTCCCCCCTGGGTATGCATGAGATAGTTCTCAGCAGTATTGTGATTTTAGAATATGCACCTATTTAATTTATAATGTTTCCTTTAAAGCAGACTGTTAGGTACCCCCTTTAAAATAATGTTGACTTTAACTTGACATGCTCTAAGTGGCTTTAAAGCGGCGGCCTGGGGGACGTGCTGCTAAATATTTCAGGACAAACTCATTACAGTAAATGGGCCTGTGTGTTAGCCTAGCTGGGGTAGACAGGCAGCAGCAAGAGAGACAGGACAGTGATGTGTGTGTGTGTATGTGTGTGACTGTGTTTCTTCCTGTGTTCTAATAGCTGTGGAGTCGATGTCTGAGGCAGGCAGCGCCTGGCCCAGTTGTCCCTGTTGCAACACTGTGAAACACACAGGGGCTTCTCCAACATCTGCTTTGTAAAGAGCTAATGACAAGACAATAGAGACCGGATGATTTAAAGTATAGTACTAATGAGGCCCTGTGTGCTGCCTGGAGAATCCTGACACAGACACACTTGCCTGTACACACTCATGCTTAAGATAACAGATGATATGTTGGCACACCAAGAGGTAGACACCCAGCAGACATTTAGTGCACACAGTCAGACCTTCTGTCCGTCTGTGTTTCAGACACATAAAGAGAAGTATGGTGCTGTAGACACTATTCAAAATTACGTGCACACACACACACACACACACACGCACAGGCTCAGCACATATAATTACAATGTTGAGTTACTAATCCATGGATTGAAAATCATCTTCCATTTCAGCAATGCCTGTGCATAGACCTCTTCTCAGGCGCAGAGGGAGCGTGATGATGAGGGGAAACAGTAAGAGGGAAGAAGAGAGGGAGAAATAATAAAGGACAAGCTTAACTGGTGAGGCTGTCAGCGAAGGAAAATAATATTTGTCCAGCTGGACAGGCCTTCCTTTGTGCAGACTAAATGAATGTTGAGCTTCCTGTCTGCCCTGTCAGGGAGAGTGGCGTAGACTGTATGCAGCAGCGAAGAAGCGGAGCGGAGTACGGGGAGCTGTTTGGAGTTTGACAGGGATTATTAAAATCAGAGCAGATGACGAGGAAGGGGCGAGAGGCGGAGTGTGAGAAAGCCAAATTGACACAGACACTCTCCATTACCTTCCACTTGACTCGTGTTGATGACAATGTTGATATGAGACCCAGCAACGCGGCACCGGTGTGGGATTGGCTGTTAGCATGAGCGTTAAGCACCACAGGGTAGGGGGGTGGCCCTCAGTTCTGAGAGACGTAGGGAGATGAGTTGTTTATTTAAAGCTTTGACTGAAGAGCATCTCACCTCATTGTTTATTTATTTGGTCTATTTTTTTTCCCTGTGTTAACTCACTGTAGTGTCAGTAGGTGGAAATGGTTAGAGTCTGAGGCAATGAATTTTGATCGGGGTCTCCTCCTATAGCAAATGATTTTCTGAGGAAAGAGGAGTGGAACTGGAAGAAACCGCTTTTGTTGATGATAAGCTTCCTATTATTTCAGGTCTCTCAGGTGCAATTGATTTGTGCCTCATAATAAGACTGTTTGAGAAAATTTCAAATTATTATAGACCCCATGACTGTGGGTGTGTGTATACAGCATGTTTGTGTGCATGTGTAAATGTTTGTGGTTAGTTTCTGGACAACTATGATAACACCACACACCAGATCACACACTGGCATCAGTCTACGCCGTTGATTTAGTCCCGACACCGGTACTGGCTTTTGCATTATTTTGTTTTATGAACCAATACACACCATGCACAGTGCTTTTAATGCTATAAGGCCTCTAACTCTCTCTTTCTCTCTCTAGTTCCTTTCCCTGCACAGCAGTATGGAGTGGCCAGGGGATTTTCCTGAAGACCATGCCTTTGTGGAGCTGCTGGTTCCAGGGGTTTCCAGTGAGCTGGACTTTGAACAGTTTCTAAAAGACACAGAGGAGAAACTCAGTCTCAATGCCAGCAGGTCAGTCAGAGCAGTAAAAGCATTGATTTAATAAGCCGCCCTGATCTTTCTGACCTTAAATTAGAATAGCTCTGTCATTCAGAGTTTTACCCTTTTTCTTTAAATTCCACTTCCTCTAATGGTTTTTACTTTGGCTTTTCATCAGATTTAGAAATTAGAAGCTTTAGGATGTCAAAGCCAGATTGAAGGTAAGTACTGTCCCTGTTGACAAAGAAACCCCAAATAAGAAGACATGAATGTAACAGTGAGGTTTTTAAGGCAGAATGTTTTTTAGGGATTATTTTCTGGGGGAGACATCTATTTCTCTCTGTGGATGTCAGGTGAATGACAGGAAGCAGAGAGCAATATAATGCGCATTTCAGTGTGAGGACACAACACTGGCACAAAGACATAAATGTTAAGCAGTAACTTTGACAAAGCATAATTAATAATAATAAAACCATGTTTACTTTGATGTGTTGTATTACTTCTTATATAATTTTCACATAAGTGAAAGTTCTTAACTGTACGAAGATTAAGGCCAAAAAATGTCTCACACTGAAGGTGGGAAAACAAGCTCTGATGTTTTTTTATGCTGACTACCGCTGAGAGAGGTTTGCAGACACCAGCAGGAATCATTTTAAAGAGAGGAGCTACCTACATGACTGACAGACTTTAAAACACACACACACGCACACATACACACACACACACAAACACACAAACACACACACACACACATGCACACACGCACACACACACACCAGTAATATTGTTTACACTTGTGGCGTGTGGCAGTGTTAGATAGAAATATGAAATCATGAAAAAGATGAAAAACTGCATCTATGCTTTTTTTTTGACTGACTTACTTTCTCTTCCTCTCTCTCTGCCACTCTACCTTTCTCTTTATCACTCCACAAAGTCCAATCATGTCATGTCAATCATGTGTTTGATTTTTGAAAGATTAGTTCAAAAGTTAGTTTGTTTTTTGAGTATGTACCGCAGACTCATTTGAAGAGTGAATGGTAAATTTAAACACACTTTTTTCTTATGTCACTTGTTTTGAGCTCAAACGAAAATCTTCTGAAAATGCCTGCTATTAAAAACATCAAAATATTGAAACTCCACAAATATTTTCATTTAAAATAAATAAATGAATATGAGAAATGTCCCCAGTTTTAGCTATGTCTGAATTCTTTTATTGGAGTAAAAGGATCAAGAGAAACCTGGTTAGCAGGCTGTCTAACAGAACATTTAGTTTATATGCAGTACAAAGACTTGAGACTGTAAGTGTTACTGTAGCAGCAGTGCGGAAGACTGAAAGGGAAGATCATTACTGTGACTGTGTGGTCTTGAATCTAAAATGCAGTAATTAAATCCGGAGTCTGATTAGAAATGACTCTGAGACTAAAGTAAATGCATCGGTTTCCACAGCTGAACAGTAAAATTCAGACACATTTAGGGAAAAACGTGAGCTGACAATGACTGTCCTTGTACTGTGCACTATGCACACACACACACACAAAATAAATGATGTCGCAGTGTCATATGCAGCATCATGAGTTCCTAACTAATATGCTGAATATATACAAAATATACAAGCCTTGGTGCGAACAAATGGCAGGGGAGAGGGAGAAAGCTGCATGTAGCTATAGGAGTTAGACTAATTGCAGTAGAGGTAACTTGTCTGATTCAGCCTGAAGTGGATTTCTCTAAATAACCCAGTTTTTCATGTGTGTGTAAAGGTGGATGGTTGGATTTAATGTAGTTAACATTGCATAGGACTTTCACTGAAATTCAAGTGTTTGTGGTTTCTTTCTATTTCTGTGTTCATGGTTGAGCTTGATGGTGACATTGATATTCATAAAGAGGCCTTTATCAAACTCTAAGCATTACCTTACAATATTGTTAACGGTTAGCGTCAAGTATTTGATAACATCACATGAGAGCGAAATCATTCTTTGTGGTTCAATTCTATTAATTACTCGAACAATCCTGCTATCATGTGTGATGGAAGAAAGTACAGTTTAACAACTCACATTAGATTTTTTATTTTCCTGTGCGTTGTCACTGAAGACTGAAATATAGATGTCCGTCAATGATGGCAGACAGGGATAGTTGGAGAGCACAAATAGATTGATAAAGAGAGAGACATGGGGGGAGAAGAAAAAGAGAAATCTATATTTCAGGTCTTTTATCGTTTGTGGCGTTGTGAGGCTGAGGGCAGATGATGAAGGACAGGCTAAATGTAGCAAGTGAACAAAGCCTCACTCTGGCACCATTAGTGTCTGGGACCCATCCCTTCCTCACTCTCTCTCTCTGTCTCCCTCCCCTTCTCTCTCTTTCTTTCCTTCCTCCTTCTAAATGGGAACATAATAATTGAAGATTCCACATCTTGAAACGAAAACCCTTGGGTAGGTAATTCAAGGCTTATTACTGAAGGCCGGGCCATTTTTCTGCTTTCTAAGCATTAAAGGGTTATTTTGTGTTCCTGCAGATGGGAGAGGGATAACCATTATGAGAACAAAGCGTCCAGATAATGGAGAATGGGGCTAAAAATAAGGCAATCCTCCTCTCGCCGTGGGGGACCACTGGTCAGTATCTCTGTCAGGCTGTAGCTAACTTCCTTCCAGACTACTTCAGGACAGCCCTTTTACTGTCAGCACACATCCAGGCAAACAAAATCTTGCAAGGCCTCTTTTTTTGCCTCGACCAGGGTGGGCTGCGGATTTATACACCCAAACACACATCCACAGCTCACTCACCTGCTTCCCTAATTGACTTATCAGTGTCTGGGACAAATTACGGAAGTGGAGGAGAGGAAAGGGAAACTGAGAAATGGGGGAGACAGAGCTGCTCACACCCGTGAAGGACTTCAACCAGTTTATGGGTCAAAGTGACTGGCCTGCTCCCAGTTCTCAGATGTCAGAGATTTTCCTAAGAGCTACTCCCTAATTGAAGGAGATTAAGATAGGCTGACAACGGAGCTGGCTCCCCCAAATTGAAATGCTGTAATCCATTAGTTTTCATCAGATGGGACAGTGGCTCAGTGCAGGGTTGGGTGGGGAGTGGTGGGCCACCAGGAAAAGACCTCTAATGAAGTGTCAGCGCAGGCCTGGAGACTGCAGACAGGACTCCAGTTTCACACTGGCAAGGCAAATGGCTCTCACTAGTCGCCTGCCAATCTTGATCAGGGTACAATATCAATACTTTTAAATTTGATTCTCTCTGTGTGTGTGTGTGTGTGTGTGTGTGTGTGTGTGTGTGTGTAAGCACTTCTGATAGTCAGGATGTTGCATATGTGTGCAAGCAGGTGGAGTTGAAAGCCTGCTACAGTAAAATATCGTGTAAGGTTCCCTTTCAATGAACAAAAATCCTCATCTGTAGTCCTTGCAGTGTGTAGCTGATTTTGTGTTTAGCTGTGCGTGACACGTGTGTTAAGTTAGTATATCAGTTGTATCGGTTCTCCGGTATCATTGGCTGGGCCGGGTGGCTGGGGGGCTGAGGGCCGAGGGCACTAAGTGGGCGACAGGCTGGGCCAGAACGGGATCTGTTTTCAGCCTGTTCATTCAAGCCCATTCACTCCCTTTCCCCTCGCAGAATGGGGCCCTTTGATGGAGGAGATATTTAGTTCTCAGGCGGCTGGTTTGGCACTGACTGGATCTGGGGCTTATTTGAAAGGGATCTTCCTGCCCCCGTTGCCTCCAACCCCCCACCTCCTGTAGGCGAGCGGAGGGGAGCAGAGCGCGACAGACAGACAGCCCCACAGCAGCCCACCCACACTAAATTAATTCTGACAAGGAACTTAAGATAACGTCAAAGCGCTGACTAATCGCGGGATTGGGTTTCTGTAAGTCGGGGAGCTGTGAAATGTGCCATCATATCTAATAAAAGACCTCCGGTTGCTCCCTTTCTCTCTCAGCGGTGGTGAGGGTTGGGGGGGGGGGCACGGTTGCGGTGTCGACTGTCTAGCTAGACCGGTCTGAAAAACAATTAGATTTCACTTCAGCAATGGAAGTGCAAGTGTGGGTATGTGTGTGTGTCAGTTAGGGTAGATGATTGACATGTTTGTCAAGAGGCCTAAAGAATCTTTTCTTCCCAGTTTCCTCTCCCTCTTTTCTCATTCTCCGTCTTTTGTTGAGTTCTGCTCCACCATTTTTGCCATTACGGGTCGGCCCATTGTCGTCTTTACTCAGAAAGTTGAAAGGTTTTATTTTCTGTGACTCCTCTGTTTTCTACCCATTTTTACCTTCCTCTTCTCTCATTCTCTTTCTGTCTCTTTCCCTGGCGTCTGAGCTGTCTGCAGTGGAAGTCATCAGGTTCGGAGCTAATCCTGCCAAGTTGATTAGGCTGCAAGTAGCTTTCACACCGCTGGGCAAAAGGTCACAACATTGTAGAGAGCTGGATGGACTTCTTGACACAGACCATCCACATTGACTTTATAACTTACAGCACAAGGCCCTAAGGAGGGGTAATTGAAAGGCGAGAGTAAAGAAAAAGGAAATTAGGAAAGTAAGAGTTTTGAGGAAAAAAGAATGAAAGAAAGGGGTCTGGGAGGGGGTGAGGCAAGGCTAGAAAATATATCTGAGGCAAGTGCTGTTGCTGTAGCCATTAGAGTACATTGTTTTGTTGAGTGAAGGCAAGGTTGAGATGATTGGGAGTGGAATGAGTATGAAGCTTAAAAGCCATTCTCCTTTCTGTCTTTGTCTACGGCCTCACCTGTGTTTCAGTCTATTTCTGCTGTGTCCACATATGGCACAATTGAGTTCCAGAAACTGCACTAACACCTCACCGAGTCCTGGGCTTACATGCTGGATGTCCTATGAAGCTGCAGTTTAATCTCACCTCGGCTAGTTTAGTCTACCTACGGTTTGTGTTTTTAATGAACTTCAGAGTCAGTGAAAAGTGAGCCACAGATGGGAGCCCATTTGAAACCTGCTGTCTATGTGAAGTCCTGGGGTAGAGCCCAGAACGAACATCCATGTTTATGATGTACTATAAACACACATACAGTGCTCTGTGCTGCCATTTATTCTACAGCGAGGTTTCATTGCGAGACATGGCATATGACAGGAATCTATGCTAAAAATTAAATTTAGAACATGTATTATGTCTGCATTTATTCTTAAATGTTTTTCTTTTTATATTTTGCTCATCCTGAATGAATTTAAAAAAGGGAAGGGAAAATATTGTTATTTTGAATGTGCTGTAACTACTTCTTCTCAGAAAGTCATTACTATATTTTCCTTAGGGAAAGCAAAGTCAGAGGTCACACAAACAAACCAGCATCTGAACAGTCCTTTGTGTTGTTTAAAGTGGTGTCTATTAATTTTACACATAGTGCCATCAGCAATCCTGAAGCACGCTGGCTTTACTCAGCCCTTGCTGAAGCTGTGTTTTACAGGCAGTGAGCTTTGTGCAAGTAAGAGCTTCTGCGCTCACACAATCTGTCACACATTAATGTAATATCTTTCCTTTACAATGTTCATACAAGAAAAAGCATGAACACATACAGCAATACAGAAACACGTGCACACACACACACACACACACACACACAAACACATACTCACACAGGGTAAGGTGAAAAACATGATAAACGCCCACTTTAATGAAGGTTAGTATTGACTGGCACAAATCACTTCAACACACCCACTTTATAATCCGGGTTTCTGTCAGTCAGCAAGTTGGTGTGAGATGCATCATTTGGCCTAAAGAAGAAGAAGAAAAGAGAGCGAGACGAAGATAGTTAAAGAGGGAGAACGATAGCATTAGGCAGTGTTCAATCTAGGGGATAGTGGTTTGTAACAGTCTATAACATTTTATCCCCTTGCGTTTTTCCCTACTGAAACGAAAGTGTGTCAGATTGAACGGTTATTTAATGTGTTGCCATTGTAAGACATCTGGATGCGTTCATGGCCCAGAAGCAGGCAGGAGGCGGTTTATAGACCTGCGGTAGGGGATGAGAAAGGATGTGTGATGGGGAAAAGGCACTTTGGCTTAGCACCATGTACACTAACACACACACACACATTCACACACACATACATACACACACACGCTTGGGAGACAGAGATGTAACTGCAACTAATTAATATTTTCATTATCGACTGATTATTTGTTGCGATAGATTACATTGCTTTATTTTGTTTGAAATGCCATCAAAAAATAATATGATGAGGTTCAAGCTGTCAGTCACTGACATTTTTTTCTAACACATACATTCATGTATGCACCTTTGTGCACATACACACCTTATGAACACAGTCACACATGAACACAATAGCAGCGTTCACAACACCATAACATGTTTAATTATGCAGGTATCTAGGCCCACACACACACACACACACACACACACACACACACACACACACACACACACACACACACACACACACACACACACATGCTCCCACTGTCTTACATGGATAAATATATATATGCATTGATTTGCATGGAAATGACTAAACATGTCGAGCCCAAAGATGTCATTTCTAATCTGTCATATTAAAGGGGAAACGGAATAGCTGATGCAGTCTGTTAAAATCAAAAGAGCTGTGTTTGTGTTACGGGTGTGTGTGCGTGTCTGTGTGTGTCTGTGTGTGTGTGTGTGTGGGCGTGCGTGCGTGTGCGTGTGTATGTGTGTGTGTCAAGGGGAAGAGTAAGACGTGAAATGGCAAGAAGCGTGTGTCTCAGATGCCTGCCGACGCCACTTCACACCAGATGCTTAGCACACACTCACACTCTGATATATCGATGTCTGTGTTCATTACTGTTGATGCTTCAGTATCTGTCTTCTCACGGTGCAGACACTGAATGGGAGTGAGGGAAAGCTAAATGTGATGTGCTGTGTAGGTCCATGTGTATCTTCAATATGGTGTATATGTGTTTGTGGGATTGTAACGTGACTTGTTGTCTGTATTGTTCCGGTGTGTAGCAGTGTCTTCATCTGGGTGTGTTCGAATGACTGGGGGTGCTCTTAATCTCCAAACACTCAGTCTCCTCACCGGCCCAGCAGATCTTGACAGTCAAACACTTTGTTCAGTCACGACTGGGTAAGGGAGGAGTTTAGATTAACAGGAACATGTTGGCTGCGTGCTGGTAAACATGGCATGCAGAATATCAGATGGACTACCTCTTTCCGCATTCTGCATTTTACTCCTTTCGGTTGAAAATGAAATTGAAAGTGGGCTGTTCGGGTGGTGTTTTCCCACTCACCTCCTCACCTCAACATTTATTTTTGCTGAGTTATTTTGTCTTTCACTCTGAGCCCGGTCATGCAGACTGTTTTATAGCTCTCAGCTCTCAGACTTACACATCGCATCTCCGTTTCTCTCAGCATTGAACAGCAGCTAAAGGAGATCCAGAGCAAAATGGGAGACTCCCGGGCAGGGGAACGTCCGCCGAGCCCTTCAGAGTGCCTGCAGTGGTTCAGCCTCAGAATGCACAACACTGTCAGGCCTGTCACCACAGGACATCAAGAGCTCATGGACTTCTTTAGAGCTTTGGTAATACATTGCAATGTTAATAACTGGTGGTAATGATAATAATAACAGTTCTGTCAGAAGACAGCCCTGTACTAAGTTAATGTATACGACTTCAAAATATTTTCGTCCTAACTTTTGTATGAGAACCCTTCATATTATGGCTTTTTCTTCCCAGTGAATTAAACATCTTTATCCCTCTGTTCCATTCAGCAACAGTACCTGCAATCTGAAGAAGAGGAGAAAGAGGAGGTGACACTTCAGCTACTGCTTAATCTGTCTGCCCAGTGTGGTGTCTGTTTTCCTTGCACCCCTTCTTCTTCTCCCTCATCTTCCTCTCTTCATCCTCAACTGACTGCCTCCTCCAGCCACTTGGTACATACAGTCAGAGATGATGCTTCATTAGAGGTAATACATCAATTTTGAAATCTATTCAATGTTTCCTTGTGTTTAATTTGTTCTCCTGTTAATTGTTACTTCAACAGCTGAATGCAGTGAAATGAAGATATATTTAACTAGCACAAAAAGTGAATTTCAGATACCTCCTAAATGGGGCGTTGTTGATCATCAGTGTACTCTTGAACTTACTCTTCATTTTATTATTCACTTAAGATCCAGGAGGCATGGGATGATGTGCGTCACCAGCTGCGTCGCCACCTGCTGGACCGGCTGTCTTCTCGCAGCCCAGAGCGTCCTGGACACAGCCAAATTTCCATTCTGTCCATCCCAGAACGGATCCACTGTCTGCAACAGCTATTCTTTCTTTATCCTGAGAGTGAGGTGCTCACACATTACCAGGTGAGGTAAAATAGTGAAAATGCAATAATGAAAAAAATCTTCATCATATCAGCAGTGATTTTACAATGATGTATTGTTTTGTTTTTATTTATCCAGGCCGTAAAAAGTCAATCTGTGCAGGTTATTCTGCACTCAACCATGAGCTCCAGCCCAAGCGGTGAGACTGGCTTTGACAGACTGGCTCAGGGTTTCCGCTTTGTGATCCCAGCTCTGACCCAGGCCCTCACAGAGGAGCTACAAGTCCTCTCAAGACTAGCAGAACCGCACACCATCCTCGGTTTCCTTAATGCAGCTTACCTCAGCACTGTGGCCCGAGAACTGGCCTCCCTGGTGGACAGAGAGTGTGAGATGGCCCTGAGGGACAACACCTCGCTCAGCGGCAAGATCAAAAAATATTCAGCCAGGTCCCGCGCAACTGTGGGTAAGTGGTTCTTTTTAATTTTTTTTTTTTTTTTTTTTAAATCTCATAGTTAATTACCCTCTGCTTATTCTGTTTTCCTTCCCCCCCCTCCTTTTGGTGGGTTGTTCTTAAGAGTTCATTTAGATGTGCCATTTTTACTTTTCTGTGACTTTCCAACTGTAGTGTGCAGTGATCTGAGCCAGAGCCAAGGCCTCTGTAAGTGATTGTCAGTAACTGCTGTTCCCATTGTAATTGCTTTCTTTTTACTGCCCTCATTCCCATCTGCCTTACTTTTCTTTTTACCAACAAAAAGAGAGGAGCAGCATTTCCAGGGGCCAAGGTTCCTTTTGAAACTACTTCTAAACACTACTTACCACATATTCTATCTATAAGACCCTGGTCTCAAGAAATGTCCAAGCCATATTCAAGGTCTGTCGACAGTGTGTTTAAGTTAATTCACTTCTTCAACTGGAAACTAAGGCAACATATACTGTGACATCCTGGCCAATGGTTTTATTGTTGACAGCCACAGCTATGTTGTTTTCTTTTTGGGAATTCCATAACAACAACAACAACAACAACAACAACAACAACAACAACAACAACAACAAATATCAAAATAAGGTTTAACTTACCTCTTATTTACAATTTACAACTGTGTAGGAAGAGCAGCAGGGGCTTGAGAAAGAGTTGGCGCAGGAGTAAGGGCAAGGTTAAACATTCTCTCGACCTTGTTACACAGTAGGATGGATATTTGAGGGAAAAAAACAATATGAAGAAGCACTTTTAATATTTGCCACTAATGCAGAATGTGTCACTGTGATTGAACATGCAGTGATGTTATAGACAGAGACTTTACAGAGAAGCACAGACCTTCACACGCCGTGTCACTTTTGATACTTAATTCCTCCCATATTCTCTTTGTTTGTTTCATATTGGCCTATTTACAGCTTGCTGAGGGTAAAGATTCACAGTAAAAAAAAAAAAAAAAAATGTAAAGTGTGTGAGCCATTGTTTACTTTTTCAAAAATGGTGCACATGTCAGCTTCCCTGCGGAACGGGGAGAAGAGTGCTTTTACATCTGCCATTCTTCGATAAACACACCACCAGCCTTGCTTCTCTTTCTCCCCTCTCTCCCTCCCTCCCTCCATCTCTCTCTTTCCATCTCCCTCTCTGGTTTTTACTTTCCCTCTCCTTAAACGTGAGATGAGAGGAGGCAGCCAGGATAATTGGCCATGCGTCAGTTGGGCTGTTTGATCACGTAACGCGGCGGAGGCTACACACCTACGTGCCGCTCAACAAACCGTCAAATGTAGCACCGGAGGCAGAACACGGCTCCAAAGGGAGCGGGGGACCCGTGCTGTGTAATGATGGTAAAATGGAGCAGTTTTGCCTGTGCTGGTTTTACGTGTGTGTGTGTGTTTGTGTGTGTACGTGTGTGTGTTTGACTATCAGCTGCAACACAGCTTTGAGGGCTACAACTGGGATTACATTTTTGTGTTGTTCATGTTTTAAGTCCCCCCCAAAAAGCTCAAGAACCCACATATCCACCACCCAAACGCCCGTGGCTCCGAAAGAGCCAAAGCTTGAACATTAATGCATAATCTGCTTTCACACTTTACTGTCTATACTACAGTATATGCCATGCCCATAATTGTCAAGACAATTATGACAGTGGTAAAAAAAAAGAAAAAAAAAAGTGATTCTATTTTCATAAGCATCAAATGACTTCTTAGATCTCTCCCTCCCTCCCTGCTGTGTTATTGTTTATTTCTGCTGTAGAGGCAGGCGGTAGGTATATTTTGATAAGAGCCATGCCGGGGAGACTGTGCAGGCTCCCAAGGGAGCAGCACTGTCTGTAGCATCAGCCACTGTCAAACCACTGAACCATTTAACAGCGTTCACGGCAAGATCTGCCTCCTCTTTTAACCCCACCGACTCAAAGGTAGGCTCTGACATTGTACCTAGACAGATGTGAAGGGGCTCAGCCTCTTCTTAACCCCCCCTTTTCCTTTACTCCATCTCTCCTGCGTCCACTTCCCCTCTCTTTTTCTTTTCTTGTCTTTTTCCAATTTTCCTGTAGTTTTCCAAGTGTAATGGGGTGAGCAGTGGGACTGGGGAGTGTGCTAGACAGGTTGGCTGGTCGGGAACAATACAGGCTTTAAACCTTACTGACACACCTCACTGAGTCTGCAGAGGAGTGGGTGGGCCAAGTCTGCATGTCACTGTATGTGTGTATATGTACATGTGTTATATTTTTTTTCAGTGCCCTTAGCTCTTTAGAGTCATGCTGGGATAAAGGTTAAAGGCCACCACTTACAGTTTTCATACTTTTCAACAATCATTCGAATTCTCCAACTTTATGATTTCCTACATGTAAAGCTACATTAGGTAAAATTTATCCACAGGCATATTTACACACTTTTTCTCTCAGCAATGTAGTTCGTTATCTCTCCTGTTAATACAATTACTAGTGACCAGAATTTGCATAACCTTTAGGAAAAGTTGGAATGATTCCGTGTGAAGAGATGCACCTGACACCAGTGCGGAAACACCAACGCTGCCAAAGCCATTTGCTATGGTACATTTTTAGTGTGTTTGTTCCTTTTTGCCCTGTGTGTGTTTGAGTGGCTATGTAGGTGGATAAGCATGTGTACACGTGTGTTTTCAATCACCTTTTGAGCATGTGTCATGTGCACATGTCTGCCCATTTGTCTTTGAGTCCATGCTGGTGTGTGCACTAATTGCCGGCTCACTTAGAAAACTGTGTGATCAAGAGTAATTTAATACCTCCCTTTTAAAAATGCATCATTAGATTTCCATATGGCATCAGTAATTTGCATGTGTATGCATAGGAGATCCGTGTTTTTGTAGGACATCAAAAGCTTTCATTCCAACTTCATTGCATACACACATACAATTTATTCCCTAACAATCGACCACAGGGGTGATGTTGAGGTTGTGAAATTCTGTTCAAACACTTCACAACCCCATTCTGATAGTACTGATTTGAATTCCACTTCCACTAATTTCCCCATATGACGACGTCGGCAGCTCCCTATAGATAAAAAAGGATTGAGTTAGAACATGTATAGCAAGCACATTCACCCCCACTGCCACCCCCCCTCCCCTCCTCGCCCTTTCTGGCTCTTTGAACTCTTTCTCAGAGAAAGCACAGCAGCCTATTCAGCGGGGAGAGAGGTTCTGTAGTGACGCGAGATAGCTAGGCTGAGGCTCTGACTGGCATTGGAGGTGCTTGTGGGGATTGAGGCTACTTGGGAATGGCGTTTGTTAATATTTAATAAGAGCAGCTCCTCACTAGATCATATCTCTGCCTGAGTTTATACACACTGTCAGCCAGGGACGTGCACCCGCATGCTTCCATGTAATTATGTGCAAGGTAGGAGGGTTTGTGTGTGTCTGTATGTACATGTGGCGTGATGCTTCCAGTTTATGGATGATTCTTTTTTATGCCGCTCTCTTCCTGTCCTTGTAGATGCTGAGAGGGCCTTGTTTAAAAAAGTTACCACACAAGCAAGCGGTTGTTTACTAATCTTAATGAGAAGAGCTGGGTCTTTGCTCTCTGGTTGTGTTCATGTGTGTACGTGTCAGTGTTCATTTTCTCTAAATCATGGTCCAATGAAATCACAGAAAAGAATATGTTTCATGGCCCTTGAGAATGTGTATTATGCATGCCATTTATTTTTTTCCCCATTTCCTCTGAGTGGTCACAATAGCTTTTGTGTATCACTCTTGAAAAGCTCAAGGATATGAACATTTTCCTGGCACCTTCTATTGAGAAAGCACAGACAAAAATGGCTGGCTTATTGAGAGCAGCCAGCACTTCGTGATGAAGAGTCAGTGTGATTCGCCGAGGGCTTGAAAACAATAATGCGAACAAGGGCACTAAACAAGTGGGTTTTAATGAAATGCTCCCATCAAGACAATACATTCCTCGGTGTTCTTCATCCAGGCTGCTTGGTTCAAGTACGCGGGGGAAGCCAGAGAAATCTTAACCCCTATCTTACTGTCACTGCAATATTCACCACAAAGAGAGAAGAAAACAAAGACAGACACAGAGGAGGACAGAAAAACAAATATAAAGCAGAAGAAGGCTTGCCCTGATTCTCTGTCACAACAAAAACACCACCATCACGACTACACCTCCTTCTTGGTAAGGCAACTTAATTGAGATATCAAATATTGCTACTTTCCCCTTCTGTGAAGGGCAGGTGGCCCCTGCTGTGGACTGGTTGGACAGCACCCAGGGATAGAGCCACAAGAGACCGGGGCTTGGGTGATTTGTGTGTGTGTATGTGTGCATGCGTGTGTCAGAGTGTGTATTGGGGGAATCACAGCAGGAGGCCTCCCATAATAAGGCTGTCTGAGCGAGCAGTGGGCCGCAACTGACGAAGAGGACCCCAGCTGTCACAGGCCTGGCAGGCGGTCCACAGTGGCTCATAGCCTCCTTCTACCCACATACGCACACATACAAGCACAGAAGTACCCCAAGGCACCCTCACGACCCTGCTTGACACCCTATGAGATGAACACACAAGGAGGCATGGATAGACAGAAAAACACAGGCACAAAAAGAAACACACAGAAGTGCTCAAGAGCCATAGCATTACACACTTGGAGTAAAGCCCCATGATAAGAATGAAGTGGTGCACAAATACACACGCATTCACATACACAAGATTGGGATGGACCAGCCCATTTTGACATTTAAGTGCCTGGCTATAGTGGCTAACATCTGTAGCAGTGGGCTAAGAAAAACACACAATGGCCACTGTGGGAGAAACTTGCAGGAGAGTTGTTGAGTCATGTCCAGTTGTCTATTGGTGCTTTGTTTTCACTGCTGCTGCTTTGCCCTTAGCAGTACTTCTTTCACAGTTTACGTGAACTGTTGAGTTCAGGAACTATTTTAAATTGGGTTAACCTCAGGCCTATTACTATTTGTAATGTGGAGTCCCACAAGGGTCAATACTTGACCCCCTCCTATTCAATATCCATGTGCTTATGTTCAAAAGGGAAGGGCACTGATTGAGGAGTCCTGCACGTGCATATGTGAAGACTACAATTACCGCCTCACAGTTGTTTGCCTCCGCCAACCAGCCAAGTTGCAGGAAATATGGTCACAATCTCCCCTTGTAGAACATTAGAATGTCACAGCCCTAACCCATCTCTTCATTTTATCCATGTAGACATTTAAGTTAAGTGTCATAATGATACAATTATATGAATTTGTGAGTTATGGCCAAAGATGTGTTTTGTGAGGTCACAGTGACCTTGACCTTTGACCTCTGACCACTAAATTCTAAGCAGTTCATCTTTGAGTCCAAGTGAATGTTTGTGTCAAATCTAAATAAATTCCCTCAAGGTGGTCTTGAGATATCAAATTCAAGAGTCCAAAAACGTGGTTTGTTTTACCTTTGACCTTCGACCACCAAGATGTAATTATTTCAGTCATTTCAAATTCAAGCGGACATTTGTTCCAAATATGAAGAAATGTGTTAAATGTGTTAAAAATGTGTTACTGAGATATCGTGTTCACAATTGAACTGGAGGCAGCATTGGTTGGGTCTGAAATTGAACACAATCTGAGTGTGTGGAGTCTACCAGACCTCTGTAGTTTGCTCCCCCTCTCAGTTTGAGGTTTGCGGCTTGAGCACACATCCTAATATCTGACAGAACTGTCAGCAGTGGAGTGAGTTGCATCTTGGGTAATGTAGGCACCAGTTTTGAGAAAGAAGAAGACTACTCCAAAACAGGCTATTCTGGTTTTGCTATATCATTTTGAATTTTTTCCATCTGTCCATCATGAGTCCAAAAATTTTATAGAAGTCCAATGCTTAGTAATTAACATAACTATGCAGATAACATCCAAATCTTCATAGCTTTCCATAGCCTGTTGACTATGATCCCATCAACCCAGAGTTTGAAGGCATTTAATGAACAGATGTGCCAGCATTGACTTCAACAAATAAAAACAAATCAGAAGTACGTGGTTTCAGCCCTTGGATCCTTAGAATCAGGTCAGATTTTGGGTGTTGTTGTGGATTACAATTTAAATTTAAAGTCACATCACATCACTCTTTTATCATCTGAGATGGGGTCTGAGGATTGATGTCTAGACAGTATCTCAAAAAGCTGATCCATGCTTTTACTTTCAGCTGGTTAGATTATTGTCTTTTTAGGCCTACTCATAGAAGCTCTTAGGCACCTACAACTTGTCCAAAATGCAGCTTCCAGGATGTTAATAAAAAATTACTTTGGACTTTTTACCAGCTTTTTTTTAAAATTATATGTCTAATTTAGTGTTATGCATTTTATGCAATACATAAAGCATATTTTATTTCTACTATGTAAGATGTGCTAAAAATGCTTACCTTCTGAAAATATTTCTTCCTTTTCTCTCTGGATCTAATGAAACCAAACTAGAGGGTGCTGTACAACACACAAATCTGCACAAACAGAAAACTCTTCTTCATAAATAGTGATCACATGATAAGATACTGGAGGCCAGCCGGGTAGTGTGGTAAGAGAGAAGCAGACAACCCCTCTGATGGTCTGATTTACACTACAGAGAGACAGAATGAGAGAAAGAGAGGAAAATGAGGGACAGAGGATGAGAGGGGGAGAGATGCTGTGCTGGAGAGAAATTAAATCAGTGGCTAAATTATTGCATGATTGCCCATTCCCCAAAGACTTGGGCATCATTTGGTAGAAAGTGTCTAATAATTGGTTTTCGGCCATGTCAGACACATGCAATTCCCCCTACTAATGGCTCTGTTAGGAAGAACTGGGCCTCCTGGGTCAGAGAAGGACAAGAAATAGCCAGACGGCAAAAAGCGCCCTACGCCCTTCTCCTTTTTTCCTCAGATAAACGAGGGAACAACAGAGAAAGAGAGAGACACAGGGAGAGAGAGGGAGAGGTGGCAAAAAGTAGAGAGTGTGTATGTGAGCGAAGAGGAAATGAAGTGGCAATAAGTGCAGCCAAAGGGGAAATGCTCTTCACCGTGAGTTTAATACATCAGACTGGGGATTTGGCAGCCCGCCACACAGCAATTGTTTACCTTTTTGCTCACTGGCTGCATCTGTTCTGTTTTGTAAACGGCACTAAACTATTCGCCCGTAAACACCGGAATCAATAACAACTGCTAAGGGAATTCCCTTATCCCGCCCCTCCCTCTCTTTCCCTCCCTCTCTTCCTCATGTTTTCATCCCTTACCACCACCCCTTTCCCTTCCCCTAGATCTCCTCCTCTCTCCCCTCTCTCTCTGTTCCCTGCCAGTCAAGAGCAGTGTGTGTGTGTGTGTGTGTGTGTGTGTGTGAGACTTTGCTGTGGAGCTGATGGTGGAACCCACAGGAGAGACAGACAAGGAGAAGACTGATGGCTCGCCAAAAATACCTGCTCTATTTGTTTTTTTCCTTTTGTGTCACATTGTTGTCATTGTTAAAAGCTACAAACTGAAACTGGCCACTGTAGACCCGCAGAGTTTGGTATTTTCAGACATTTTTTACAATGTTTCTGCTCCATACACACACACACACACACACACACACACACACACACACACACACACACACACACACACACACAGACACACAGGACCACACAGAACACACACACACACACACACACACACACACACACACACACACTGTTTTCTATTTCACACATTTAGAATGGCATACTGCTTGACATATGTTTCTTTGCTTTGAGGGCTTCTGATAAGACTCATACTGCTTTATGAGTATCAGAGTAGTATGACTGATCATTGATTTTCTTTTTGTTCATAAGAACATCCTCACACTATAATGTCATATGGGCTCTTTTATAAACATATCATTTTGCCCAGCTTTCAGCACCAGCCCTCCCTTATTGATTCTCAGTACACTGACCTTTGGTTGAACTCTTCTGCATGCTAGTGCCCTTCCTCATTCTAGTCCATGAGACATGCTATGCTCTACGCTATATGACACACCTGGGTGCTTTTAAGCACACCCTCTCCATCAACCAGCTATGAGAGCCTCCATTTGGCCTCACTGTTGTGACAAAGGTATAATGAGGTTTAGATGGCTGTGTACTAGACTGCTATGGCTATAAGGCTATTTGGCTAGGGAGGCGACTATAAATACCTATATAGCCTGGGCGGCAGAGCTCGATGAGAGGCTGAGGCATTGCTAAGCATCAAGGTCATGTGCGACTACTTAGAGTGTGACTTAGTGAGCAAGTGAACCAGTCATAGGGTCACAGGTTGAGGGAATGAATAGAATGAATGGTGAGAAAAAAAGACAGACAGAGATGATGCTCTGGAAAAGCTGATGCTCCAGATGAAGTGGTGGTTAATAGTTGCTATGCTCAGATGAATGCCCCACAGAAGGTTGTAGTGATAGCTTTTTAGAGACTCCAGCGCCTCTCTCTCAAATGTGTCCCTGTCTTATCTGGTTGAGATTTTTTTACTCTCAAGTTGTTGACAGCTTTAGTTTGCCCCTGTGTTTAGGCACGGAAAGCTCTGTTGATTTGCTGGTGACTTTAGAAATAGACATGATTGGTGGTGCGTGCATGAATGTGTAAGCTGGAGAAAGAGGCTGGCATGTGGGTGTCAGCCAGGTCACGCATGTAAACATGCAGTATGAGGTAGTCTCTTTAGCACAGATTCCCACTGGACCCCATTACTGAGGAGCTGCTGAGCTGCAGACCCATGCAGCTTAATTACATACACACATATACACAGATGCATGCACACACATTTTAACACACACCAAATAATTACACATCTATTCACATGCAATTTCATACATGCTTGCACACACACACTTGCACATAAATACATGTATACACTTGGACTTGTAAACACAAACAAACTTGAGGTCAGAATATATTCTACGGTGACCGCAGTCTGGTTGCAGTGTGGCAATTATCCTGCAAGACTGACGTGCGAATATGTGTAAAAGTATTTTCTGCAAATCAAGTTATTCATAATGCCCTGCATTACATTCACATAAACACGTGTGTGCTCATTCGACAAACACAAACACACAAAAACTCATCGACTCTCACTCATAAACACTCATGTTAATATACACAAGTGCCTGCACACACACCGAGTCAAGCCTCATGCATGATTAAACCAAGCTTCCTTGGGGACAGTGTGTTGTCATATTGTCAGTTTTTGTTTAACAATATGGCAAAATTACATTAGGATCCAGAGGCAATAATGTTACAATTATTGGAAAAGTGTCCCCCCCCCCCCTCTTCTTTCTTTCCTTCTCAACGCTCAATCATCTCTCTGCTTTCAGAGTCAAGGCTAATACTGAGCTCATCCATTCCCAAATGCTTTTGCAGTGGAGGAGCTCATTTAAGCGGACACACAAAAGTATTTGTGCATGTGTCTGGAAGTATGGCAACGCATCTCCCAGCCGCCCATTCTCCAGCTTAATGCGGAACATCCCCCGGGTGATGGCTTTGGCAGCCTCCAAAATGGGAAATCCATATTTGCCGAGGGGGTCATCGGCGGGTTACGGGGAGAAAAGTTTTGTGCCGAGAGAGAAGGATGTGCATGTGTGACTTCTCAGGGAGCAAAGTTTTGCATATTTTTTCACTGTCTCTTTGTTTATGCTGTGTATTGGGAAAACATGAATGGGTCGATATTTATAAGAGGTGCCGTGCGAGGCAAGACTTCAGGATGGGGTTGTTTTGTGATGAGTGCATGTAGGTTGGGAGGTTGGGTTGAAAACCTATTTTCATGAAACTGTTTGTTGCTTTACTGAACTGTAAACTGTAGTGCAGTTCTCCCTCCTCCATCTCTCTGTCAGTCACACATTCACAAGCATATGCACTGTTTATTTTATCTCTTTCCTCTTTTACATTCAGTTTTTTTTTCCCCCTCACAGTACCAATGGAGCTTCCCATAAAAAACAGGAGCTTTAGTCTGACCTCCCACCAGTTGAGGGCGTTAACCCAGCTGGCCTGCACTCTGCTGGGGTTTGAGAGCAATGTGAAGGAGCTGGTCACTAACATGACCTTCATTAACTGTACAGGAGACACTCCCTGTGTAAAAGGTAAGACTCCATCCCTCCAAAATACACACGTGTATACATATTAGACATGTAATAAGGGCTGTAGCTACCACTGAGGTCGCTGAGGTCATACTCTCAGCGTTTTTTTTGTGAATTTGGGAAATCTTAGTGACCTGAGGTGCAGTTTCTATTTTACAATGTAAAAATAGCAGATACTTTAAAGGCTGATCTAATATTCCTGTCCCTAAAATTCACAATTTTTTGGCCAAAAAAATATTGAAATATATTCAGTGTTTCCCTGCTAACATGACAGTGGGGAGCAGATTTTAAAACACCATTTAGACCATCAAGTAGGAGTAAGAATTTGCAGGAAATTATCAAACAGATAGTGAATAATTAAAATGTTAATAATTCCAGTAATTACAAAATTGCAGACTTTGTTCTGTGAGTATGTTGAGGTTACAGTGGGGAGGGATCTTGACCTCACAATTTCTAAAAACTGTGGCTACAGCCCTGCATGTGTGCCACTCCTCCAGGCATAAACAGTGAAGTTACACCCCCACAAACACACACACACACACACAAACACACACACATTGTTACTTGTTCTAGCGAGACGTCTGAGTTGTGTCTGAAGAAATGTGTTATTTGAGTCGGGAATTATCTTGGGTGTTATATAAGCCTTTAGTATCCTTTTCCTCTCTCCCCTTTGAACTGCCGCTGCAGAGATGTTAAATGAAAGCTTTTGGTGCATGGGGTAATTTCCATAAAGGTTACATTTACAAAAACAAGACTTGCAGAAAGGCTCAATTTACAGAGAGGTAAACAGCCTTTAAAGGGCAGTTATCCAAATCATTAATTCCAGGCAATCAAACGGCTTAATTACCAGAAATTCATCAGATGGGCTTAAAGGTCAAAAAGTGATGCGCTTGCTGCTTCCTCCTTCTTCCATTCCATGCGGTCTTGTTCGGCTAAATTGCCTCGCCTGGGGTCTTACACTTCGCCTTCTGATTAGGAAACTGCGGCCTTGATGTTCACGCTTTTTAATTGCAACCCAACCCAACATCCTGTATGCTTGTCTTCACATCACCCCCCTACACTCCCCCACACAATCTCCCCTCATGGAATTACCCCATATATAGTTGATACTATCTGGGTTCAAATCAAATCTAAGTCCCAACTTTAGACTCGCAAAGCAGTCGCCATTAGCATTTACTGCCTGTTTCTGCTCCCTCTAAGGCAGTTATACTCTGGTCACTGTGTCTCATTTTGGCTAGTGGGGGAAGAGGGGAGCAATGTGTCCCATATCTAGCTCTGAGTTACATACAGCTGCTTTCATGTTACCGCACTCGGCATTCAGTCAGGCTTTTGACACATAACATCATTCAGTGATATGGAAATAGTCATGCTAAATAATGCATAGATTTGAAAGATGCTACAGATACCCGCCACATAGCTTTTCCTTTTCAAACTGGGATAGCTTCTTTATAATTAGAGGTCTCTTGTGAAATTTCACTGACATGATTTTAGAGCTTGACCTGGCACAGATACTGTTTAATGTCTTTTAAGATGTATTACATGATGTTTGCATTTAAAAAAATATATTGGTCAATTAGGCATCTTGAAGAAGAGTAGAGAGGATTCAGACATGACAACAGACTGCAAGAAATCCACAGCAGAAACACTTCTCCACACACCGGAGGTGAGTCTTTTGCATTGCTCCTTTGAAAGACCCTGCAAGAAAGTTTCTGATCTATTACAACTATTCAATGTCATTAAGCCCTATTATCTTTTTCTATAATTACAAAGAGGCAAGACAATTTGTAGCAGTGAAGTAGAACAGGTGAAATATTCCCTTCAGCACTCAGACATTAATTGGCGGCTGGCTCCTGTTTTTCAGGCACAGGTTCTGGAGTTTAACTGGAGGTCAGCATTTAGGGGACTGGTCCCTCACATGGAGCATTGTGTTAAAGTGGTACTGGATGATGTTTGTGCCAAGAGTCTACAGCAGGAAGAGGCCTTATATCGTTCAGGACACACCTCCGTCATCCTGTGTTGCACAAGTGGACACAGCGCCGTCGCTGCCAGCACCACACATCTCAAAGAAGACTCCTACACGTACTCGGAGAGAGAGACTCCCAAAATGATAGCCAAGGTACTCTCTTTTATTCAATATTGAACAGATCTGATTGAGGACATGCTTTAAGCACTTTCGGTTAGTTAGAGTGTAGTTATCCAGTGCTTCTTAACTGTGGTGTCTTAACTGTTTTATTTATGAGTCTTCATTAAGCAGACTATAGTTCTGTTAATGACATCGAGTCAGAATTCCTTCATGGTGAGTTTCAAACACACAAATGCACTCTAGACAGGGGCAATACATGAGTTAAATTACAACATCTACAATGTCTGTTCAATGGCTTCACAGTGAGCAGTGTGAAAACTGGATCATCTCAGAAGTTATACAGGAAAACAGGGGCGAACTGAAACAATAATTCAGACTCGGAATTTGACTCCAACCCAGGCCACCCACACAAACCATCAGACCTCTAATTCTATAGGCTAATGCTATAAGTTGATGTAACAGGTGCAGACTAGTTATAAATTTGGCAGTTTGGCCACTGTTCATCTGGGAGGAAAGTTATCGGGATCACAAAATGCAAACATTTGTGACAGACAAATAAACATGAAAAAAAAGTCAAATTATTATTATTATTTACTTAATTTTATTTAGTTATTTATTTTCACAATTACATGTTATTAAAGGAGAAAGTGGAGTCTACATGTATACTATACAGTCATAGCAGAAATATTTCAATATGAATATATATATATATATATATATATATATATATATATATATATACACACACACATATATTTATGATTATGTCAATAAGTTAAAAGAACATTAGGTGAAGGGCAAGCGCTCTCTCTCTCTCTCTCTCTCTCTCTCTCTCTCTCTCTCGCTCATGGTTCTAAACGAAAATCATGTGACTGCTTTCTGAACTTTTCACTTTCCTGCCCGCTCATCAGCATTGGATAATTATTAGTATTGATAGCCACTGTCAAAGGCAAACAGTGTAGAAAGATAAGGCTGGCAGTAGCAGCACTGCAGTGTGGACACACACTGCAGCAGTTCAGAGAGGTATAGCATCATACACAGGTGAGGTGATGCAAGAGGTCTGGCAACTCATTCCTACTTGATATGTTATCGCTGGTTGACTGTTTAGGGCACAAGCCAAAGCCAGCCTCAGGCCACCACGAAATCTCCCGGTTCTTGTGGCTGGCCGCCACTGCAGAAAAACACAATGGAAAACACATCTGACCTATCCTTTTAGTTTTACTCTCAAAGGCACCTCTGTAATCCTGATGTAACAAAGTGGAGGGTTCACTACCAAAATAAAAAAATGCAGCATTAGAATGTGCTATAAGTACACTGACTAAAACTAGACAAAAACTCAGAAAACCGACATATTTCTGGTTAGCAAGAGTTAGCAAGCTTGTTAACCTACAACATGGTAACAAAGTCAGTTGCAAAGACAAAAGTCCACACATCCAAAAGCACTGGGTTGCAGGATTTCATGTTTTCCTTTTTCTGTCAGCAAAGAGCACTAGCTTACCTTCATTTTCATTTATCCCTTCCTGATTTGCAGACATGTTTTAAAGATGGATTTCCAAGTCTGTAGTTAGAAGTTTAGACAGGTAAACTAGAAGCTTTATCAAGTTGTGTTTCCATGAACATAAATAATCTGATTCTGACCAGTAATTAGAGTAAGGTGACTAATCTGTTTCATTGGGTTAATTATAGGACTTTGCCATTTCTATTCTTTTCTTCATGATGTGAAGCAGAGCTAACTTAATTAAGGCGCCCCCTCCACATTATATTTCTCTCATGTTGTTATCACTGAATTACCTTGTGACTTTCTGCAACTGCTGAAATAAAACTGACTTTTAAGCAGTTCTTTTCACTGTGCTCCCAGATAGTAGATTTTTTGCTTGAGAAAGACACACTGCTCTGTAGATGGCCACTAGCATAGCTGGAAGCACATAGCGTCTGCAGCCTGGCAAGCATTTGTGAACGATGAAACATGAAAGTGGTGGTGTAGATGTGAGATAATCTTTGGAATCATCATCACGTGTGTCGTCTGTGTCGTTAGATACATTATATGTCACGAAATCCCACATGAAAACTCTGATAGCAAGGATTAAGGTTTTTACATTACTTCAATTCGTTTTGTGCCACAGATATTCATACAATATTGAATGAAATAATAGTTATATATGAAAAAAAACATGAAAACTCTAATACAGTGCAAGGACTCATGCTTGTTAACAAGCAAAAGTCAAATCCCATTGTCTTTATTTTTCTGTCTTTCTTTTAGATTACGAGTTCCAAATGAAAATTCAAAGAAAAAAACATGAACCAAATTTAATTAAAATTCTGACTATTGCATCAATTTTTAGAAACACTCTATTGGGCTGGCCCTAATATACCCTGTGTATGAGCATGGTTTACCATACATGCATCCTCCTTTATCCACCTGGCTGAATGTAATGCAGGTCTACACACATCACCCAGACCCAGGGAGATTAATGGTTTTTGTAGCCCCAAAGGAAAGCACCCTCTATAATAGAAAGCCCAAATAATTTGGGCCTGACACAGTTGACACTCTGGATCAGAAAGGGCCTTGGGAAGAGTCATCAGTATTACTTGAGGGGAGGGCTCTGGGGACAAAAGAGAGACAGGAGGAAACCACGAACCAGTAAGGGTGATATTATAAGGGCTAGATGGTGTGTAGAGAAAGGTGTTGAATAGGCGAAAGTATACGGTATACAGATGATATACACAGATATACACAGAGGCTAGGGTAGAGAGCAGGATAAAGAAGGGATAGTGTGAGAGAAGGCATGAGAGGAGAGGTCCTGGGAAATGGCAGGGAGAGGTGAAGTACACACCAGAAATGGACTTTTCTCAGCAGGAAGACCAGTGTCTGATGTGAGACCAGGCTTAGTGTCTAAGTCTACAAAGGATCCCCAGTGTTTGGGATTTCTTTTTAAAATGACACTATGTTGTTTTTTTCTTTCTCTTCTCTTACTCTTCTTTCCAATTTTGCAATTGTTGAACAATCAGCAAACTTCTCCTCCAGCCAGCTCCCTCAAACTTTTTTTTTTAAATCTTCCATTCCTCTGTTTTCCTCTCAACTCTTCTGCTACCCACTACTCACCTCTGCGCTGCACACTTTTGTACAGACTTTTATCATTGCTGCCGCCCCCCCCCCAGCCCTTTACACTGACAGTAGTTGTGGCTTTCATTGCTAACGAGCGTCAGAATTTGTCTGTGCTCAGGACCTGTACATCGTATTTATGTGTAGGTCAACGCTTCAAAGATGAGGGCCTTTCAGCCCAAAGGTTATACATGCATGCATTTGCATTCAATAACACGGAGCCAGACAGACATCCAAGACGAGACTGTAAGATATTATATATATATTTCCCCCTCCCCCTGTCCTTTTTTGACAGTAGCCCTAGTGTTTGAGCAGAGAGCAAATTACTATACAAGACGTAAGCATGAAATATGGCCGGTTCAAAGGCATTATGATGGATCAATATTTCACACATTTATATTCATATGTTCATACCTCAATCCTCACTTTTTTCATGTGAACCCACTTCACTGTCTGTATTACCATACATATGCAGGCTGTGATGATACTGCTCATCCATCAGAGTACTTTAGATAGTGAACTTTTTTTTTTTATTGGCAGTCAGATGTGTGCCGAATGCCAAGTACCCTGCGTTCAACAGCTGGAACTTGCCCTCCTGTCAGAATCAGGGATTGAACTCTTCTTGTTTGGGTGGGCCCCTCTAACCTTGATGCTAGCTCTCTATTATAGCAACAGAGGTGCCTTTTCTGTATGCAGACTTCACTGAACCCCTCACCTGCGTGTTCAGTTCTCCACTTGTCTGTCTACTCCAAATTCTGCACACACAAATAGGCCTCCCTAACACTTAAAAACTTCACACAATCTCTTTCACCTTGCTGCAATAGTCCTGGTGGGATTCCAGGCTTTGATCTTAGCTAGTTAAGGTTTCAGTCTGACTTCAACGTGGACGCATGCGTGTAGTTGTTTTTGTGTGAGGACGACTGTCTGCTCAGTACGTGTGTGTGTGTGTGTGTGTGTATGTTTGTGTGTGTGTGTGTGTGTGTGTGTGTGTGTGTGTGTGTGTGTGTGTGTGCGGGCGCGTGTGTGCGTGCATGCCAAAACTGAATGTGTATGAGATGCTTCTCCAGGGTCTCTCCTTCACCCTGGTATTGCTGAGTGTTGTGTCTGCCTCTGCTTTCTCTCTCGCTAAGCTAAGCTCCTAATGACTACATGCAGTCAGATATTGACTGTTGTCCAAACAGTCATTGTTCCCAGGCCTTTTAACCACACTGGAAGCTTTTCTGGAGAATATTGTGTAAAGAGATTGTGAGGTTGTCAATTGTGTACACATGCTGGAGCCCTGATCTGACAGAATGTCGAACCTCCCAATCAGCCCTACAGTAAGTCAAGTAATAGTGTGTGACTCCAGACACAAGTAGTACATGCTTTGATTGATCGATTGATTAAACTGGCATCAAGTTTAGGTGATTTTTATTTTTTTCCCTCCGTGTGATGTGGCTTGGTAGCTCCAGGGATTATGGGGAATATTCTTTGTTTAAAGGCTTTTTAAGAATCTGCCTGACACATAACTCACATGTATAGGTGTATAAATTTGGATTTGAACTCACACACATGTGTGACTCCTTGGCACTTGGCCGATCATCTTTCACCGTTCTCAATGTGATGTCAATAGGAAGCACATGAGGTAGTGGAGACAGTGGGGTCAAGGTGTTCGTGTGTCTTGGTGTGCAACTTGTTCGCTGTAGTACATGGTGCTTTGTCTGCAGAATATATGTTAAACTATTACACACAATATATGCATGCACCAGGACCACACCATCCTAACACACACACAAACATGCACACATACACACACACGCGCGCACACACACACACACACATGCACACATAAACACTGCTACAGAAATCTAGTGCCATGTTTGTGAAAATGTTTCACTTGCAGAAGAATGAATAAATGTAGTATCATGTCAACCTTGTTGATTGATGCAATGCTATCATTATATTAATTAAAAACATTAAGATTTCAGCTTTAAATAAATACCAGCAGATACCCAGACTGCTTATCTGTGTCTCAGCAAGCACACACACTCAACTATTTTAAAGCGCCTTGATTAGCCCCAGTCTCCCAGACCCTGGAGAGGGAAAGGTGTAGGCAGCCTTGTCCCTATAGGCCTATCTCCAGGACAAATGTGGATAAAAGAGATAAGTCTTGGTTCTTGCTCTGGCAGTTTATAAAGTAAGCTATAGGTCTTTTGCATTGCTGAAACATATTTCTCTCCTTCTCTCTCACTGAAACCTTAGCCTGACCTTTTCTTTTCTTTCCTCTTTGCACGTCTGACGCACTCACCTCTCACCTATGTACGGCAACATTTCTGTTTGGATGTGATTAACATGATGCATGCTGGTATAAAAATGTTGATGTTTCCTCTGAAGTAAAGGCTTTATTTGACCTGATACCAATTATGCATGTTCAGCAGCAAAGTTTATGTGGAGGGCATGTCTGCACAAATCTGTATTCTACAATTGCAGTGCTTTTCAGCTGTAATGACTTGCACAATGTTAGAGAAAAATGCATGTGTAATACTCATCTCAATCTTGAATCCTTGTCATTCTGATGTCTCCTTGCAAATGTTCCATTATTTACATCTAATGAGGTCTCTTTCTGATGTCTTTTTTTTCTTTTTTACTGACAGATTTTCCCTTTATTATTGAGCTCATCTTGTCTTTGCCTTATCTCACCCATCAGTTCTGTGGAACAATCATGGCTGAGTTGGATGCCTTACTACCCTTGGCAGCAGCCTGCCGGGACAGCTCTCTCCTGGAGGTGCGATCGAGCTTCGTGGAGGCGTGTGGCAGGGCAGCGTTTGCCATGTTGGGCCGTGTGCAGGAGAGGGCCTTGGAGGTACCATCCTCTGCACCCCTGAAGAACCTGCCTGCTCTGCTGGCCACTTGCATTTATGTGCACCAACAACTGGAGCATTACTACACCAGGCTGAGAGATTCACATGCTACTGCTGCTAAAGTGTAAGGAGAGGGTGTGTGCATGTGTGTGTGTTGGTGGGATTGTGTGGGAGGAGAATGGTATATTGGCTGCATTGAGTTTATGTATGTATATATTTTCCTATCTATAATATCTATATCTTACAGCGTGTGTCTGCCTGTTTGTCTGATATCCAGCTATCTGTGGCCAACTACAGCATGTGCTGGATGAAAAAGCTGTTATTGGCAATTGATTGAAAATTGTGATCTCAAGGAATAACTTGAAAATCTATTTAGAAGTGCTTGACATTTGCTCTACAGTTTCGGCAGTTATGGCTGCCTTGCCAGAGGAACAACAACATCATAACTGATGAAAGCTAATTTTGACGCTTTTCTACCAGCAAAGAACCAAATGTTGCATTTAAGGAAACGAGAATTGTACAGTATGTTCCTTTGTGCTATAATCACAGAGACAATACTTACTGGAACCAACTTCACTGATGTATAAGCCCACAGATGGCGACTCTAGACTGTTAGGTTATGCTGTCACAGTGATGATCAGACAGACATCAAACTTCAGTTGCTATCAATTCCTATTAGAGTTAGGAGTATGAATGCGAGTATGCCACCCGTCACAGATGCTGTGTCGAGTTTTGTTCAAAACCCGAGCCCTCTCACAGCTGCCACATTCTTGTACCCGTTCTCAGCCTCGTTTCCAAGATTACTCGTTGTTCCTCTTCTTTCACATTACTCAGTAATTTCAAAATTGCTGTTAGTTTTTCAACAATAGCCTAATCAGACATTCAACAGTCTGCTCAACAGATAGTAAACTAAAGTGAATTGCAAACAATTGCATCGCAGACTGAATTAATATACTCCAGCAATCCTCTATATATTGTCATATGATTTTTTACTTCCATCCAAGTAATGAGGCGGATATTTAATAAGCAATAAGCAAAGACAAGGAAAGAAAGAATGGATCAAAGAGATTCCTGTTTCCAAAACGTGTGATCGTGTCATACAGGCAGAAAACATGAGAAACATTTGGAAAGGTTTTAAAATTTCAAGGAAATTGTACATTTGAGATTAAGAGGAGGGGTGCAGTGTGTTTTAAAAAAGAGTGGAAATGATTGACAGGTGGTAATGACACCCATATTATGTCTACATCTGGTGAGTTTTTATGCCTCATAATACCCCCTTAACCTCTGCTCTCTGCAGATCCCCTCTAAAGGCATCTCTGGTGCCCTCGGTGCTCCTGTTGTCCCACCTCTGGCCCTGTGCACCCCTCCACCTGCACTTGCTCTGTGCCCCCTCCGGTCATAAAGCACTTTCCTCTCTCCACACCATTTGGTCCCCCTGGCTTTAAGCCCGCTGCACCCCTGTTAAACTCTTGCCTCTCTCTGGAAAGTATCAAGGCAGGCAGATTTAAAGGATATAAAATGTCACACTGAACTTTTAGAATAAATCATCTGTTCTTTCATCTAATCATTTCAGCTCATGTTTGTTTGATAGCTTCCTGAATATACAGTAGTCAATTATGCATCGGAATTATAGGATTGTGCCCTATTGTACTCTTGACCCCAGCTGTTCCTTTCTTTTTTTCTTGATACACCATATGTATTATAGATTATATATTTTCTGTCATAACCTTGAAAAGTTTGTTTCTTTCCTCTATGCCTAGACCCCTGACCCTACTGCCAATACAGAAGTACAGAGACACAGTGGACGCCCTGAAAGACCAGCTGACCAGCTACTGTGTCCAGGTTTGTTCCACCTGCATTCTTCAGGATGCTGAGAGTCATCACTGGGCTGACCCCAAACCCTTCTATGAGGTAAAATGTCCTTACATATCTTAGAACGTGTTTGGTTGATTTTTCTTTTTTTGCCCAAGATGCCTTGAAATATACGGTAATATACGGAGACATACGGTATATGATATCGCATTTAAGATAAATCAGTGGAGCCTGTGAGAGTGTTATTTACTGCAAAGTCAAAAGTCAGTAACACATAAAACAACCCTAGTATTGTTTGGTATTTATTTCATTACTTTTATTGTAAAAAGTGAAAATTCTAATGCCACATGTCTTAGCAGGCTTGTTCTGTAGAGTTTGAGGAACTCTAGGAATTATACTCTGGAGCTTTCTTGCTTCTTCTTTTCATTCCCACAATACACCTTTACCTCCCACTCTCCCTCTTCTAACCAAGCTTTCTACTCTGAGCTCCCTGAGAACATCTGTGGCTTCCATGCTGCCCCGGGGCTCCAGGGATTCAGCTGTCTGAAGTCTGCAGTCTACACTGGGACTGTCTGGAAACAACATAGGGCCCCTGGAACTCCCCTACCTTTATGCCCTTAAACCAATCTAAACCTCCCCTCTCTTTCTTACTTTACCCCGCTTTTGCCTGTTTTTCCCTTTGTTCCTCCCTCCTTCCCTGGGTCACTGGTGTCAGACAGACCTGCTGTGCGCAGGTGTGTGCTTTTGTTCAAGCATGCCTGTGTGCATCTGTACAGATGAATGAATGTGTGGGTGTGCAGCAGCATCTCAGGATGTGTGTTTCATTTGCTGTGTGTATGTATGTATCTACATTTTGGATGCCTATATATGTGTAGATGTATGTATCAGATTTCAGTCTCCTGGATTCCACAGCCCTGTGTCTTGGCTCTTTCACAGCTCAGTGCAGCTCCACAGAGACCCTTCTCCAGCTTACATTCCTCTTTCTTTTTTTACATTGATATTGACACATTAATAGCTGTTGGCAGAGAAATATTTAATATGCTATAATAACAGCATATGAGGTCAGTTAAGGCGATCAAAAGAAATTTAGAACACGACCTTGGTTACCTTCCGTGTCAGAATCTTGCCTTCAGAGCCTGAAGAGAATACAAAATGTCATAAGAAAATAAAAGCAGTCATGAGCTTCCAAGTTTATTCCATCCTCAGTTCCCTGTCCCAGATTCAGTCTTCACTCTTGCCAGGTCTTCATCCTTAATAGGAATTTGTTCATAGTTGACCTGGCTGGTTAAATAAAGTTTGACTCGAATGAACGGATAAAACATCCCAGCCACACATGTAGTTGTGGCTGCTCTTGGTTTCAATCCAACATTTGTGTCTGCATTTGCTCCACTGAGTCCACAGGCGGAGGATGGCGGCCTAATCCCGGACATAGAGCTTGGTCACGCTCCCCATCAACCAGCGATCCCTAAATGACTGGCTCCAGGGAGCAGAGGGAGGGAGAGGAAGGAGAAAAGTAAAATATGAGATAGATGAGGTGAAGTGGGAAGAAAATGAGAAGGGACTTAAGGGTATGATGAGATGAAGACAGGAGGAAGTTGAGGAGTTTTGGACATGTCAGTATCTTTACCACACACACACACACACACACACACACACACACACACACACACACACACACACACACACACGTGCACACACATACACCGACTGCTGGAGCAGTTTATTGTTGGAGGTTAAACATGAGGATTTCAGATGAGTAGAGGTAGAAGAGGGAGGTTTAATGACTGAATCCTTCTATATCTTTTCTGACAAAGCTGCAGGATGCCAGGATAATAATCCCCTTCTCTCCATCTGTCCTCCCCCTCTCTCTGTCTGTCAGTCTTTCTTCTCACTCTTACTTGTCTTTGCTCACTTTATGCAGAAAAGTTCTCAATTTCTCCCCTTCTCTTTTCCGCTCTCTGTATGTGCGAGTGTGTATGCGTGTGCAAGTGTGTGCCTGTTGTGATGTGTTCTCCAGTTCAGGACTTTAAAGCAGTCTAAAATCCCAGTGGGGGAAGAAACCCAGGTGCAGAGTGCAGGTGGCGTGACCACTGAAACATCCTGGTGTTGACAGACCTGCCTCTGTCTCTGTCTCTCTCTTTCTTCTCCTTCATGTTTTCTCTCTCACTCTCTCTTTCCCCCCCTCTATTTTTATATCCTCTTCTCCGCTTTTTTTTCTTCACTGTCAATGTCCATATCACAATATATCTTCATCTGTTACCCCCTCCCTCCCATCCACCTCTCTCTTCCACAGGGCGAGCGCTGTTCCTTTTCGGTGCAGATGTGGTTCTACTTCCTGTGTGGGCTCCGTAGCGACCTGTGGGCTGTCCTTCCGGCAGAGATGGCCAAGGACGTGCTGGGCCAGGTGCTGTCAGAGACTTTACAGCTGCTAGTGCAAAGATATGCCAGGGCCCGTGCTTCATACAAGAGACACCTGCAAATCAGGTACTTTATCATGTGCCATTGTGACCTGATGTGATTTTCATTTGAGATTCACTCTCTGTGATGCAAAGTAAGCTACTAAAATAATAACATCTCAAATGTAGTACTACACTGCAATATACTATAGAGCCTTTCCTATTGTTGAATCACTTAACAATGGAAGTATTGATATGACAATGCATATTTTTGACCCTGCAGATTTGTCTTGACCATTTCTACTGTGGAAACTCAGTGCTGCTTTGGACAGACTGAACTGCTCAAATTTACAGAATGAACCAACACAGAAATTCCTCTATGGTTATTTTCTCTTAATCAAATTTCTAGAAAATTTACAAAATGATGATATACACCAGTATCAATTTCACAATATAAAAGTGCATATACTGTAGTAGAAGGTTTTATCCCTGTTGCAGAGCAGACATCTCAGAGCAACAATCTCACCAAAAGGGTCTTTAGCTTTAAGGACTTCCTGTTCATGTCAGTTTAAGAGGTTCAAGGTTTGTTCTTGATCTTTGAAACAGCAGTTGGAAAGACAATCTCAATCTTAGCTTTTAATGCAAAAAGAGAAACATTTAAATTGGAAGTAGTTCATCTGCTGATGTTGATCATGTGATATGATCAATGAGATTGCGTTAGAACAGCCATTAAATGTATCTTGTAGTGATATTTTTTTTCTTAATTGCTGTTTGAAAGGTTAAGACTGAGCTGTGAACCCCAGGAGGAATCAAAATTGATTATTTTTTCATCAATCATTTTCTGGTTTTCCTGGAAATTGTCAATGAATATAGATCACAAGTATTTACGTATGTGTTATTACGCTTTTACGTTTTGAAGTGCATTGTTTTATCTGTACCTTCCTCACATACAGTACATCTTAGTGTAGCCTACATGGATGTAGACGTTTGTGCCTGCTGTATAATGACAATGAATGAATGATAATCACTGTTGGCCTAGTTTCACTCAGCTCCTGTGGGTCTGATGGAGGAGCTCTGAATGTAATGTCAGCATAGTTAGTCATTGGCACACTCTCTGTTCAGGTTCCAGTGGCCCTCCTATCCATCATCTTTTTTGTCTTTTTTCCTCCAAACAGCCGAATGATGACAATGAACAGGTTAAACTGTGACACACAATAAGAGGATAAAAGAGTGACAAAGATATAGTGCAGTATACATGTGTAGCGCTGCATGATGTCAACACAAAGCCTGGTTTATGTTGCTTGGAGATGCGCGTGTGTTTCTGAAGGGACAGTTGTAACGTGTAAGGCTAGGCTAAACAGATGGCTTTTCAAAGCTTCTCCAAGTTTCCTATGTGTATAGAACTCACATGGGTACTCTTATGCTTCCCCAGCTCTCCTGTATCAGTCCATCCCTGTGCGTCTAATAACGATTTAGGGAAGCAAGGATGAGGAGATGAGAGATGATGAGCAGCTCTCCCCAACCAAATGAGGGAACAGATTTATTGGTGTTTAAATGTAAAAGCACTGACTTTTATAGTGAAATCCAAAGCCAGCAGTACACTTTTCCAACAATAAAATCACCAGGAGGTTCTGCATTCTAACTGGCTGTGCAATGAGGCTGTTATGTCATGATGTACTGGTGGATGCCAGCCTTTTAAGACAGAGATGTTAACTTTCAGTGCCTTTCTCCCTCTCTCTCTCTCTCTTCATGTATTCTCACATATTACCTCACATCTCATCTTTTCTGTTTTCATCTATACATTCACCTTTTCTGTTTGCTTACTGTGTGTCCAAGATGTGACATTACGGCAGTATTGCTGTATGTGGAGCAGCTTATGTGGAGTTTGTGTGAAAGTCCCGAGGCGTTGGTGCGCTCCAATCCTTCTTCAGCAATTGCCATAATCGCAGGCGGATCTGACTGGCCATACCAAATCCACAGCCTGTGTGAGCAACTCCTGACAGTCCTCGTCATTGTCACAGCACCTCTATCTTTGCTGTATAGGTTTGTGAGCACATTATGTTTTTGTTATTTCATTTACATTCCCGTAAAATATGACCCAATTATACCAAAGTATTTGTACTTTAATGACCAGAGATGGTCATGTGGCTGTAGCTGCCGACCCTGAAACTAATTGTGTCTCAAATGACCATGGATTTAACTGCACACTAAATATTAAGATAACACGAGTGGGCTGCTAATGGCAAAAACAATAGATAAATGGCATGGGAGGGCACTGTAAGATATATTTGGCTGTATGACATCACTACCTGAAGTAGTATCATTGCAATAGAGAGGTGTGGGTATATTTTCTGTATTGAAGAAGTATCACTCAAAATTGCAACATGCAATCTCAATTCCTCCAGGACATTTATGATTAATTCTGCAAAGGAATCCACGCCACAGCAGCCTGACAGCTCTGTTGCACACTGGCTAAATGCTATCAACCCTGACCTCTTCACAGAGCAGGCCATAAGGTATGTAAAGTACACCCATCATACCATCTATCACCCGTCATATAGCAGGTACACATATCGTATGCATGTTCACACACAAACACACACATACACGCACACTCTGGTATGCTAAGCCATCACACACACCTCCACCCACTGTATGTAGAGAACCATATGTGTGTGTGGAGTTATAGGCACATACTGTATGTGCAGATATATAACCAGACTTACCCGTTGCTGAGGGCTTCAAGCTAGAGTTGCTGTGGTAATGTAACACAGATGCAAGCTGAGAAAGAAATAAAAAAAGAGAATAAAATAAACTACCGTTGCTGCTGAGGCTGATTATGTTTATGTTGATGGTTGCTTTACACATGAGGTGTCAATAGAGCGCACTGTGGTGTGTATGTGCTTGAGTATGCCTGAATGTGCACGTGCAGGCATACATGTGTGTACATGTGTGTCCAGTTACTATTGTGACCTCCATGGTGCAGTCAATCACTCTCTCCCCTCACCCTTGACTCTACCCTCCTCCCCTCTCATCTCCCTCACAGCCAGAGGTGATGTCATTGCGTGCTGATGGAGCACAAATCAAACTAACCCCTGGTCTCTTGCTCCTAAGTATTGGAGAGCTGAAATTAGTTTATTTTTATGACCTCTCTATTTCTCTGCTCCCACCTCTTGCCTGCATGCGAAGGCGCCAGGGGGCTTGCCAGTGGCCTGGGGCCAGATCCACAGGTCCTCGTCCAGGACCTGGCCTCTGAGGCCAAATCTTTTCCCAGCCCATTAAAATAAAACCCATTGTTATGGTTATTAAATAAAAAAATAATAAAATCACAAAGCACATAAATAAATCATTCAGCATTACAGGCTATAAAGAAAGTATCTGAAGTTATGTTTTCTGGCTTTATGAGTGTTTCTGCATTTGCACACATTCATGCACGTGTGTGTGTGTGCGTGTCTGTGTGTTTGTCTGTATCTGTGTGTCTTGGTTCTGTAAGCTGACCCTGCGCTGTAGCCGGGTAGATTTATCAGAGCAGTTAAAAGAGGATTTCTTCTGGATTTGCAGTCCCAGTGACATCATAAATTGTGCTGTCAGATCGAGGCATAGTTTTCCTCAGTCAAGCAGCAGGGTGCACCCTGCTCTAGCTTTCTGGCTCAAATAGAATGGTTAATTTCTGGGCAGACACCCCCTGTACAGCCTCCCGCCTCCTTGCTCTTCAGACAAACTCTGTCCATTCCTTCCATTAGATTTTATTGAGATGTATAAAGTAACATGCAGGCACACACATGTCAGCATGCTCTTACACTTGCACACATACATAACCACAAGCATCAGCACTGAAGGGTGCACATACACACACAAACACACACACACACACACACACACACACACACACACACACACACACACACACACACTTACACGCACACACAGCAAGGATACGGCTCATTACCCACAGCTGGCTGCAGCCTCTTGGTTATACAAAAGATGTAGGAGGGGGGTACTGCTGTATATTCATGTATTTGGCTGTCTCCCAAATGTTAATTTGCTTTTAGCTGGCCAAGATTAGAGCTAATTCCTTCCCGGTGCACACTATAAGTAAGCGAGAGTGAAGGCATTTGCAGACTAAGCTTGTATCAGGAGTGAGTGACACTGAAGGAAGTTACCATTGTGGCATAAACACTATTTCTTCCCAGATTGTCATCCAAGACAACTGTGTCTCTCACAGCTTTGAAGCTTTTTCCCTCCTTTGTTGTCTCTTGTTAAATGGACTGCTATCTGTACACTCACCTGACACTGCAGAACTGTCAACTTTGTTTTCTTTTTTTCCACTCTCAGAGATGGCCTTATGGGCCAGGCCGCCTTTGCATGTCAGCTGAGGCTGCTGACCTCTGACCCAGGACGCAATCCCAAGTTGCTACTGCGAATGCTGCTGTACAGAGACTGTCACCTGCCCAGAATACTCCTGGAAAACTCTTGTAAGTCTGTCTTTTCAGAGGACATGGATTGGTATATGTTAAGGGAATAAGGCCCCAGTGTTTGTGTATGTGTGCGGTATACAAGCCTAGTTGTCTATCTTTTAGTAGAAAATTGATGCCACCTACTCCAATTCTTAAATATGATCTTTTTTTATAATACTGGACCCACAGTCGATCCTGCAGGGGATAAGTGTGGGAAGGTGTTTACCAGTGTCTTTAATTATGGTGCTCTAAGATCCTAAGCGAGTTATATAGACCTTAGATGAGCTCTATCCATTTTATGAAGTTATCATCAGCATCTTTGCCATCATCATCATTTTCACCTTGGTCATCATCATCACTAAATCAATAGAGCGCAGTAATAAACACTCAACAGGCCCAGGCGGAGCACACAGGCTGACCTTTAAAGATTTTCCCTTCCTTCTTCTCTCCTCCGCACCAGCAACAGTCTAACCTTTAAAGACTGTTGTGCACTCGCACATTAATTCACATTATAGCGACCTCATTAATAACAACTCTCACTGTCTCGTTCTCTCGCTTGGTCTGAGTCTGGCTCAGAGGCTCTGCAATGCTTCTCCCTCCACACTGCCGTAAATCAACGCTGGAAGCGCTGACTCTCGTGTGTTATCACGGTGACGGGCTAATTAACCAGGAAGCAGACAGACAGAAGGAACAGCTTGACTGAATGCCTACACTCCCATAAGCCACTGCACTTCCCTATACATGTACTGTATATAGTAGAGTATTTTTTGGTGCTGTAGTAAAAATGTGAAAATTGTGAAAAATGTTGGAAAAGTAGCCTAACTTATTCAGTCGGTCACGTATATATATATACACGCATATATATATATATATATATATATGTATATATATATATATGTATGTATGTGTGTGTGTGTATCAGCTCTCAAGAGGAAAGCAAGCAACTAAACCTATTCATTTGCTGAAGGATAATAACTCCTCCTATTTTTAATCATTGTTTTTGCTTAAATCAGAACATACAGCACTTCTGGTACACACACACACTCTCATACACATACAGACAGCCTTTTTATTATGATTAGTGTGTCTGCTTCCAATTACAGAGGTTTGCAGAGAGGGCCCTTGTGACTGGTTGACTAGTTGTCCGTAAGATAAACAGGTGTATGTATTGGCTATGTATCAAGGTTGGATAAGCTTAGAAACAGAGAAGGAGGGAGGGTGAGAGAGCGAGAAAAAATAGAGAAAGCAACAGAGAAATTGACATAGAAACACAAACACATTGGAATCATTGCGTGCTGCAGCAGTTGTGGAAACTCCACAGAGATGTGCCAGCGCACTGTCATCTGCTTTTCTGAAGTCATCTGCTGCTCCATAATGGGATCATTATTAAAAGGTGCCTAGTTAACCTGCCATGCTCTCCAGCACCCCAAGTGGAAATTAATGTTAGTCACCCCTGTTTCCTTGGACCATTGCTAGCCACAGCAGTGATATCCAGAACACCCTGTCCTTAAGGACCAATTACTCGACTGGCAGAGAACAAGATGCCGGTATAACCCACATAATGCTGCCTAATAGACTGATTGTAGGTCAGGGTGGTTGACCACTTTTGAGTGTGTGTGTGTGTGTGTGTGTGTGTGTGTGTTTGTGTGTGTGTGTGTGTGTGTGTGTGTGTGTGTGTGTGTGTGTGTGTGTGTGTGTGAGAGAGATGTTTGATAGTGAAAGAAAAAGAGAGAGCAAGGAATGTAAAGTGAATATAGAGATAGAAACAGGGAGACAGAAATCAGTTGTCATCTGGACCTTGAGTGGTGGCAATGCTCCCTAACAGCCTGTTATCAAGCTGGTTGATATTACTGGCCCTTTAATGCAGCAGCTAATTCAGCCCTGTCATTTTAAAATAGTCCAGTATTAGTCACTAGGAAGCCATCCTTTTTTCCCATCACAGCGCCCCCTCATTGACTGCTGCGTTGCATACACTCTTCTATTCAGATAGCTGTCATCTCCCACACAGTAGACTGACAGACCGCTGGATGTCTGCCACCTCTGGAGCAATGGGCCTTTCCTCAGCAACCCCTGTCAACTTAACACACACACACTTGTAAGCACACAAAACACATATATAGACATCCATATGGGTTACACAAGCACACACCTCCATCCTCAGCCCTGTGCTCAGACAGCATCCCCCACAAGGACACCCTGTCAAAACCTCTTCCTTTTCACTTCCTGTCTCCATGTGCTGTGGATCCCACAGCCAGGGGCTTTGAAATCTGTTTCTTTTTCAGTTTTTTCTGGTCTGTTTTTTTTCCTCCATCTAACACAGATGTGGGTTTTTCTTCCCGTTCTATTCCACAATGCCTTTTGTTCGCCCTTTCTGTTAACATGTGTCAGGTTGGGCAGCCTTGACATTTTCCAATGTGTTTTTGTGCGAAAAAATCAAGTTGCTGTTTCATAGAATAGAGTTTTACATCTTTCCCTACCAACCTCCATAAGGTTGATATTTTTTGAATCATAATTCAAAAAACAGTCAGATTTCACACTCACCTACACACTCCTAACTGAATGTATGTGTGCGTCTGTGTAAGCCTTTTCCTCTCTTTGTGCATCCTGTTGTTTTTGTGTCAAGTGCTCCAGAATATCACATTTCATAAATTCACACACATTTATTGGTATTATGCCCAAAAGTGTCTTGCCAAACTGACACTATTTTAATTTTGTTTACAGATTTTTGTCAGGAGAGTGCCTTAGAGATGTCGTCAGAGAGTTGCCATGCAGGAGATGACTTCATAGTCACATTGTTCAATCTTTTCAGTTGCTTTAATACTGTTCCCAAGGCCTTGACTCAGGCCCTTCAACCATATCTGGAGAGGGCACACATATGGGATCATCTCTACACACTGGCAGGTGAAATAGCAACTAGTTGCTGTATAATGTTGTAGTTTAGAGGTCATTACTACAGATTGATAGTCAGTTGATAGTCAGTGTATTACTAAAGGCCATAGTACTATTCTATACCTCACTACTGCACTATCCTGAATTGTGTGTCAATTATTGTGTTCTTCAACATAAAATCCTGTGATCACAGTTGAGTTATCATATTAATATAAATTAAACACTAATGTTATTAAATAATATGGTTATTTGTTAGGACAAAAATAAGTTTTTGCTACAGGAGAGCAACTTTGATGTCATTTCATTCAATGTCGTTTCATTGCTCATTAGATCATTAGCATCAGTGTTATTTGGCTTATAAGTCAGGATATTGTATTATTTATCGATTCTATACTATAAAATAAAGTGATGATAAAAGACTAAGTGCAATTCTCATTTCATGTTGAATTGAAAAACTAACAAACTAACAGCTGTTTCATACTTAGATAACAGGAAATCTCCAATTTGAGATTTGACCATATTTTCTCTAAATATATTAGATATATTTATAAATACAAGAGTAAATCTGTCCACAAAGAATATCTCTTTTTTTTTTTTACAGCCAGTGTTGACATTGCGTGCACGTGAGCTAAAGAATGACTTTAATATGCAGTTACAGAGACTGCAATTACTTCCCAACTCTTTCTTTCCGCCTCTCTCTGGTACAAGCTTTGATACAGAGCTTAATCAGAACTCCTGTGGAGTATGGAGCTCTTTTTGGTGGTGATTTTTATATCCTGGGTGAGTGGTAATTATTGTAGCATAAATTAGGGTGATTGGAGAAGAGTATTTGGATGGAGACAGAGCAAGGGAGGGGTCGACAGAGGGAATGAACGAAAAAGAGATAGAGTGAGCCAGAGAGAAATTCTCAATGTCATCCAATCATGATTTATCCTCACAGGGTAATTAGTTTAATTATTGGACTGTGCCAAATCTTTGTATTATAATTTTGGTTACAGGATACCCCCAGTGCCCCCATTTCTATTTAAACTGTTCACTGAGTTAACTTTCATAGATTACATTGAGAGTTTCACTATTTCTGCACTTAAACTGATGTTTCATCACACTGTAGCAGGTTGTTTCAAATCAATACACCAGTCAATACTGTAGCAGGCGGTGTAAAGTCTGAAAACCAAGTGACTTTGAAAAATAGGTCTAGGTCTCACCTGCCACAGAGTGCTTCTCCTTCCAAAAGCTATATCATTTTCTGTTCCGCTCTCCTCTTTTTCTGTGGGTCTGAGGTCACACATTTGTTCGGTGTCCCTGGAGATTTCAGTGCACTTCCAGTGCCACCACAGTACTATATCTCTCTGTTGTAGCCTTTGGTTTTACAGCCGATGCTGTAGGAAGTTTATGGGTGCCATACACCTTCATGCTGTAGCTGCTCTGCTATCAGTATGAGCAGGATATGAAAGGGCAGAGCGATGAAAGACATTGAGCACCTGGAGAAAGTTGTAAGATTTCTACTGTCGGGCCACCTGGTTTTGATTGAGAACATCTGAATTTGACTTGATATTACTTGCTTTTAGTGTAGATGTTTAAAAAAAAAAAATACCGTAGCACTCTGAGGATCCGCAAGCTGTTGGTGTCTGTATTTTCCCATCGGTTGAAAAGTAGAATCATTTCTAACACAGAGTGAGCTACACAGTAATGACTTGGTGGGCTTGTAGAACAATACCCATAATATGAAATGTAACCCAATCTAATTTGGTAGCAATTTCGAAATTTCATCTACCCTTCATTTTTATGTAAGTAGCGTGGAATGTCTGTGTCCATAGTTTTATGATTCAATATTTAGAATAGCCATAAAATAGTATTTTGATAGAAAAGCTCCTAAAAAAGAGAGATAAAAAGCTCCTACACACAGCAATGAGAGTCTCCTTTGTGCTGCATCTCCCCTTTTAAAATAATTAAAAACAATGTGTTTTGTACAGCAGGCAACACGTCTGCATATTAAATTCAGTAGGACATGCTTTCCTTTACAATTTGATTTCTGTTCTTTAAAAAAAACTAGTCAGTCTGTGGGTTGCCAGTCTCAAAAATTTTAAAGAATATGACTCTTGGAAAAACAGACATTTCCCATGCCGAGTTAAAATCCCAAGTCGTTTAGTTTGTCATTTATTTGTGTTTCTTTTTTTTTTTTTGGCTTGCTCCCTCTTACAGCACCAAACTGGTCACAGCCTAACATTAACTTTATGCTTATTCTTGTACAGTTCAGCTTTATGCTTTTATTTTTTTCAAGTGCAGTCTTAAAAATCAAGGATACATAGAAGTAGTAAGTTTGATATTCTCTCAGGCACCCTTCTCTACCTGCTGCATTTATTTACCATTTTTGTCAGACACAACGCGGACAGCACCTGGAGTGATCACCTGTGTCCGAGCTGTAGTCACCAAGTCTACCAACAGCCTCCTGGTACACCTGGTTTCCATGGTGATGGGTTGGCAGGCCACAGAGGAGCTGAGTGGAGCCTTGTTCAAGCGGAGTGTACCAGAGAGTGTCCTAGCTAAAATACCCAAGGACTGGAACTACGCGCCACTGGAAGCACGGGGAAAGGAGACTGCCACTAAGAGTACGCACATACTGGGTGTCACATTCTCAAGACAAGAGAGTAATTAGAAACATAAGGACTATTCTTCAAAAACTAACAGCAAGCCTTTCTTTCTCCCTCCAGCTGTCATATCCCTAGCCATTCAAGCCACGTCCTTCATTTTCACCAACCTACCTATGGCTGTAGCGTCTCTGCCCCTCCCCATTCGCTTCCTATTCCAAGTGGCAGAGAAGCACCTCTCCCAGCATGCCCGGCAGCTGCGCTTGGTGGGCCTGTTGCTCTGGGCCTTGCTAGGCTGCCTGATCCGGGGCCTGGAGGACCCAGACACATTAGAACAGATCAGTGGTTTGGCCCTGGACCGTGGGGCAAAGGACCGCCTGTCCCTGCTGGCTGAGTGCCTACAGGCTGCTATGGGCATTCAACAGAAAGTAAGGGCTAAAGGTTATATATTATAAATGATAATAATATCAGTAATAATAAGTTTGGGGTTTAATCACAATTTAGGGTAAGGTAGGCATTATATTGTTCTGTTGTGGTGTTTCTAAAGTACAAATACAAAAATCAATCTTGAATTTCTACCTCTTTATACGTTATATATGTCTAAAAACCCTGAACCTGTACCCATATTGATCGTTGATTTGATTTTCTTACTCATTTACCTTTGTGGTCTGTTGTGTGTCTGGCAGGGTGTTCCTAAACCCACAGTGCACAAAGTGCTGCAGGCTCTGGAGGAGAAAAGACCCAAGTGGACAAACATGCAGCTGCAGAAGGCCCGCAAGCTCTGCTCAGACAGGTGAGAGGTCAACTGCAGGGATTTAGCAAGAGGTCAAGGTCAGAATCTTATTGATAAAGTTTATATTAATGTTTTCATACATTCAGGAAAGTGCCATACATCTGTTATCAATCATTAGTCTCAGTTGATATTGATTATTCATGTGCACTGTCAGCAAAAAAATGAGGATTCATTTTATTCAGATTATTTTGATCTTAAAAACAGCTTTTTACAAAATGAATTTCCCAGTTCATCATTTGAGTGATTTATCAATAGTAAGATGAAGGTTGAGGGCTGATAGTCTGATGAAGGAGGAGGTTCAAACTGATCAAACTGACTGATGGTGTATTCAGCCACTTTCCATTCAATATAGATACTGAATAAAACGATGAAAAAGAATGCAGCTTAGATTTGCTTTTTTTTTTTTTAATTGAGCATTCAAATTCTGATGTATCGTATCATAAAGATCATTTTTCATTGGAAAGCTCTATGAGTAAGATCAATGAATTTCACGTGCTTGTTGTGGTAAATGGTGGACATGCCGTCTGACTGAGTGGACTGCTGGCTGGAGTGATGGGAACAGCTTTCACTTTGAGTTGATCTGTGACCTTTGGCTCTGCGTTCTGTAGCTTCTTCCCAGAAATTGCATCTCTGGTCGCTCACTTCATCATAACAAACTCTGGATGCATCCATCCTCATAAAAAGGTGATTCAGCGCCGTAACACAACATGTATAATTAAAAAAAGAAAAGGAATGAAATAAATAAAAACACTAAGTAGATTATGGCCAGTTCTAGGAAATGCTGTCTGTTCAGTGACAGGAAGAGGGGACGACATGGGGGAGAAAAAAAAAAAAGACAAGAATCAGGGGCTGGAGGGGTGGGGAGGAGGTTGAGTGGAAAAGTGAAAGAAGAGTGATTATGTATCACCTGTCGGAGGCATTCAGTGGGATCATTACTATTCATTAAACTAACCTTCACAGGGAAGTGACGCCTGGCTTGTAAACAATCAGAATACAGTGTCAGAGAGGGAGAGAGAGAAAGAGAGAGAGAGAGAGAGAGAGGTGGATGTAATCACTCCAAAAACAACTGGCACTTCACTCACTGGCATCTCTCTCTCACACACACACACACACACACACACGTACGTACAGTGAACCCCTCTACAGAGAACATTTGCCCCTTGCGAGCCCTCCCACCTCCATGTTCCCTCATCCCACTTTTCCCCCTTCCTTTTCCAACTGTACCCCCCCCCCCCCTTTTCCCCACGCCACCCACCTTGTCTTTGCAAAGTAATTTGTAGAGGAGAAGATTATTGTTCTCCATCATGGTGACCCTGGCTGGGCTGACGGGATGCATACACAGATGAAGATGAATGCAGTTATTCCTTGGCGGAGGTCTGCCTCTTTCAGGGCACATTGGCCCTAATGACATGATTGATAGGCTGTCCCAAATCCGGAGGGGCCCTCATTAATCACCCCGCTGACTGAATCCAATCATCTGCTTCACCTGCACAGTGATGGACAGGAAAGGATACAGTGCAGGTGCTGACACGGATGCACAGCCACCATCGGCGACAACACCGCCGCCGGGCCAACAAGCAAAGGAATGAGGGGATGTATGTGGACGAGACGGGACTCCTCTTCCTTTGCCACTCTCAATGTCAAGCAGCCAATGGCTGGCTGACAGGCGACACCATTTCTGCCACCTTATAATTACAAAGGGGAAGAGAGAGAGAGAGAGAGAAAGAGAGAGAGAACAATGACAGGAAGTGTATGTGAAGGAGAAGATTTGATGGACGGTAGTGTGATACCCATCCATACAGGAAGGGCAGGAAAATGATGCAGGCTTCTGCCAGGGTTGCGGACACGTACATGCATGAGGACCTTGACACACAATTACACACACATATACACGCTTAAGAACACATACACCAATCATTTTTAGTGCAGCAGCATCCTTCGGACAAAATCCCCTATGTATCTCATGAATGGTAATGAAAACAGTGGAAATTATTTTGTTATCTAACCCTCAATAATTTGTATTTCTTATTCACTTTCACCAGCGTTAGCCTTGGATTGCAATGTTTTCAGAGATATTCGAACATAGAGAAATTTTTTTCTTTGCCAAAAGTGCATTTTAAGTTCATTTGCCCTCTGGAGTGAATGATTTCTCAAAAAACTAAAAAATAGTTAAATTTAAACTCAGGGGTCATGATTCACCCAATTTTCTTGTCTGTAATAAATTTCAAATTTTATCCCAAATTCCTCTCTAAACTGGAAAATACTTCCCCAGCCAGAGGTGGTTTTCAGATACAAGGTGACACCCTCCCTCTTCCTGTTCCTTCTCCTTTCTCTTTGCCCCACTCTGTGTTTTTTTCTCTCTTTGTGTTCCCTCTCCCATCTCCCCCTTTTCCCATCTCTGTTTCTCTTTCAGTGTATTTGAGCGAGAAAGGGAGAGCGGAGTCGCTGCGGCTGAACTGACTGAGCAGAAAATAGGCCTGATGCTGCTGGAGGTCTGCCACAAAGCAGGTGGCAGCGAATACCTGAGGCAGATCTATCACATCATCCAAGGCAATGAGGTAGGGAAGCACTCCCTCTCCCCAGCAATTAGGTGGCTGCTGGCCTGAGGCCGCAGGCTGTTCATGAGGGGGAGACAAAGGGAAGAGGGCTGCTGCTTGAGTGCAGTCTGCTTGTCTGATCTTCTGTTGTTCAGGTGACCTCAAGGGTGCAAACCTACAGTGATTTCATGTGTTATATGCTCACCACATGGAGAGGAGAGGCAGCCGCATGGAGTTCCAAGAGTTAGCATAGAGCTCCTTGGAGGAGATCAGAGCGAGAAAGAGCAGCGATTCTTTTTTAACTCAAGTGGAAGTTATTTTAGCTGAATTCACTTCAGAAAAAAAAAGTTTAACAAATAAAAAGTAGCAGTTCTCTAGAAAGTTAATTGGAGTAGATATATATGTACAGTATATATTATATACATAGAGTTTATTGATATTTTCCTTTAAATGAAAAAAGTTTGCATTTCTTCTCTAGTGAAAATCAAACTTAAACATCCACAAACAGCTTGCTGCCAAGACACCAATCAGTTCAGTATCACATGTACTAATGGACTGTATTCCTATTACAGTGGCTCTTTTGATGGCAGAGAATATCAATTGTGGGATGAGGCTGGCAATATTCTGTGCTTTTGTCACTGTCAACGAATTCCATTAAGAGACAAAAACCAACTGCGCATTAGTCCATTTCTCTTCTCCACCGTGTCTTTTACACTCATCCCTATTGGTTCTTACTAAAGATGCACATCTTTTTTAAAAAGGTTTTTAAAAACAATTTTGTAAAATAAGTTGACACTTTTTAGCAAATGGTACTCTAACAGGAGGAAGTTATGTCTTTGTTGGGGACTATTGTCATCTGTAGATTTAGTGTGTATTTATACTCAGTGTTTATAATGGCAGATTAGTTTTGTCATCCAGTGCAACAATGACATTCCTTCATTACAACAGAGGTCTTGGATACCCAGACAAAATGTATTAGTGTTAGTGTTAGATCAGTTCAGTGTTGGTTGTCATCTTTTCGTGGAATTTGTTGATAAAAATCACCAGCGTTATCCTTTAAGTAGAATTAAGCTTAATTATCTTTAATGGAGGAATTGCTCATGTAGAATGCAATCATTAAAATTGCATTGCAGAAAAAAATAATATCACAATTCGTAATAATAATAAAGATAATGATGACAATACTAAAAAGCATATAGAGCTTTCTGTACAGAAATCACAACATATATGTTTGCACCACAGCTCCACTCTCATCCGGTGTATGTGAAAAATGCTCAAATGCTTGCTCAATTATACTTAAACAGAGTGGAGGACGTTCAAAGATCACTACAGTATATGATATATAGGTGTAGCTGCAGTAATAGAGTTTAAAGTCTAAACAGCCAGTTGCAGCTCATGGGAGTGTTACTGACATGGTCCTCCTATAGACTGTCTATTAGGACACAGCATGGAAAAACACAAGCATAAGCAACATATACATTATGCTGCTGTTGATGGAATCCATAAACAGCTATAACTCTATGGAGCAATTTGGGAGAATGTGAACGAGATTCCCAAGCACGCTCCGAGTTACCCTCCCGGCAGCTCCAGTATCTCTACTTACCCAAGGTCGAGGCAAGAACACGCAGGTCAGGGACACACCAGGCTGGTGGTGAGGTGGAGGGAGAGGGGGTTCGGAGGCCATGTCAAGCTGACGGATGGGAATATAGTGGATTCACACCAGGATGCCCATGTACACACAAACACACATCGAGACATACTGTACACACACTCATTACTTTATACTGTACATCTTGTAAGCCACCTGCATTAAGTAAGCACTGCAAAGGTTACAAAAACAAAAGTAAAAAATGTAGTGGTGTCCTGAAAAATCTGTTTCTCTTTCTCTATGTCTGCACATATCTATTTGTTCTAGTGTTTTCATTACTTTATATCTGAAGCGGTGTGATTAATTTCTACTTTTGTGAGGCTGATCAGTTAGGGAATATGTGGATAGAGAGCATTAATATGCTTGTCTGGAAACAGTGCGGCAGAAATCCTGTCTGAACTTGATTAGTTTATGCTTTTGTTGGGTCAGTCAAACGTTACGTCAGTGAAAAAAAAAAAAAAAAAACAATCTTTCAGAAGTTCATTATCATTATTGCAAGTTAAAAAAAAAAATCCAAATGTCAGCTACACACCGAATGTCCTAGTGTTTGCTCTTTTATTGTTGCTCTGTTCTTTCAGTTTGAGGAAGTTTGTTTCCCTTTCAGTTTTAAATAACTTTTTGTCCTCTATCTGTTGGTCTTAGTTTGTCAGCCTTTTTTCTTTCCACAATATTTCACTGTCAGTCTGTCATAACATGTCTTTTTTCAACCTTGCTCCTCTCTGTCTGTCCTGTGTTTCTGCACGCTTTTCCCTTCAATAGGAGCTGTTGATGTCTCAACTGAGTGGAGGCACAGACTCGCCAAATGAACCTCCTCACTTGTTGAACTTTGGCCTTGGCTCTGACAGTCCCATGGACACAGCCTGTTTCAACCCTCTCCACCAATTTGACCACATTGGCAAGAAGAAGCTGGATCAGGTTTGCCAAGCATTTATAGGTTATCATCACAGTTGCTGACAAACAATTTATTTGTTATTTATTATAGCTATATGAAATGTCTGGTATCCTATAGTGATTATTGGAGCGTCATTGCTTCATGTTGGTGTCGTTATAACTTTCTCCCAAGGCCAGAAGCATAAAGTTGAAGGTTTGGGGCTGTTTGAGTCTCTAGTGAATTGGATACTGTGGCAATCTCTGATGTTGTCAGGTCTTTCTGGGGCTCCGCTTCCTTATTCTCTATAGGTCGCTGCCTTTTCCATGCACAAGTCAGAAAGAGAACACTGAGAAGGTGAAAAGATGAGAAAATTTTTTCCGCCATAAAATAGTGAATAATGTTAGAGGTGTGCAGTCTTAAAGTGCACTTCTTTGGGGCTTTGAACCGTATACCCTCTTACCCCAAACTTATTCCCAGGAGTGCCACCATGATGTTCAGTTAATTGTTAGATTCTTTTTCTTCCCTTAAAAGGGATACGCCTAGCTACAGGTAGCATTAGTTCAGTGTGATATTTTTCAGCTTTCCCCCTCATTTTTATCCTACTATCAAGGGAAGTAACATTGATATAACAAAAAAAAAAAAAACAATCAACAAAAGCTAGTATTTCCTCAAGACGGGCTTGGGTGTGTCTTTCTAATGTTTAGAATGGATTAGATATATTTATACATTTGTGATCCCCTGTAATGTAGGAGTGTTGCCGCTATTGTTTTTCGAGAACAGACACGTTTTAATCCTAAGACTTTGCCTGTTTTCGGCTTATCACAGGAGGCTGCATAGCTTTGCATAGAAACACCCTATTAAGAGAATGATTAAAATGCCTTCTCCGCTTCAGGTGCCTGTGTTGTTTGTCAAATAAAATGGAGGGAGGAGGGAAAAAAAAGTTACATCCATCAATCACCTATGAGGAAGGAGCAGAGGAGGGGGGGTGTGTGTGGATGGATGGAGGAAACGAGTGGAGTTCTCCTACTTTTGTCAATAAAACTCAGCCTGGAGTTAAGAGTGACATTTTGGCAATCAAAGCAATCTGATTTTTATTTGCTTTCCCAATATGGTGCTTGTGCGTCTGTGCGTGTGTGTGTGTTTTAGAGAAAGAGAGAGAAAGGAGAGAGAGAGAAAAGGAGAGGGGGTGGGGGTTGGCGGGGTGCCATTGAAGATGGAGAGAAAAAAAGCAGAGCAGTCAGAAGAGTAACGACTCCCTCCCAAAATTGATTTATCTTTCTATAAATGATGGCTACATCCCCCCAAATGGATTTATAAATTAATTGCTGTCTTATTGGAATAAAAACCTTCTTGTGCGGACATGATTGATCGCCTGGTGTCGGTGGCCTGCGCTGGGGACCCCCCTCCTCCTTTGTTAGTGGGTCCCAGCTGGAGCGGTAATGCACTGATGGTATTAACCCTGATTAATAACTAACAATGTGCTATCCTCATACATCAACAGAGTGCCGTGGTCGACTGGGCATGGGACTGGCCAAGGCTGCTGCCAGCCTATCAGGGCATGAGTCAGGTCACCTTCAAAACTCTGCTGGCCAACAGGTAAAACAGTAATTTCACTTGTTACATGTACACATGTTCACTGACAGCAGTGTGTGCCTGTGTGCGGAAGTGCAAGTGTGTTTTTGTGTTTTCATTATGATCCTCACAGGTGTTTTTTGTTTTTGAGGAGTTGTTTCATGAAATAAAAGCCTCACTCCTCAGAGGCTTGTGCTGCGTCAGTTGCGTCTTTACCTGCACAAAATGAGGTGTCCACTTGGGACTCCTGAGGCAAGTTTTCTGCCACCTCCAAATTCTCTTTTGACTTAACTTTGGCACAAGCTTTAGTCATTGGGGATCATATAGTCTCGTTGCCCTTCATCAGAGGTTCAAGCTTTCGCTTTGTTCAAAGGCCAAGGGGCTCCTGTGGCTTCCAGAATGGAGGCTGAGGTGTGGAAAGAACTCTTTGGAATAATGATATTGGAGCACTAAAATATGCTGTGTATGTTGAATCATGGCATCCCATCTTTGTGAATGCACATGCACATGTGTGACTGACAGCCTGTGTGGACAAAATGTTACGGTATTCCTGCTTTTTGGGTACTTTGGAGGCCTTGAGACGGATATAGAAGTAGTCAGAGATGGAAAAAGAGCGGCTGGCTCAGATCTCGGTGTCACCTGATTGAAGAGTTTTTCGCCCAAGTCCACCTCTCCTGTCCCATCCTCCCCTTCCCCCCTCCTCTCCTGTTCTGCTCTGCAACGGGCATAAATATTTATGCAGGTATGTGACACATATTAGATGGCAATACTTCAGGCTGTTCCCTGTTCTCCATTCACAGCTGTCACGCTGCCAGCTATCAGGGAGCCATGGGGCTACTGCACCTTGTCTCCACGCCTACGCCCAATCCATTCTAAATCACCACCATTGTAACACACACACACACACACACACACACACACACACACACACACACACACACACACAAAACACACACACACACACACACACACACACACACCTTTCTAACAAAGGGCAAGCTCTGCATCTGCCAAGGACACAGGTCTAATAAGGGTGAAGTACGCAGCTCTGTGCTGTGACGAGCTTTGTCGCCTTCATGCCTCTACCCCCTCTTCCCACTCACGCATACACACACACTCCATTCTTCCTCCCCTTATATGCTGCTTTGTTGCATGTTAAAACAGATACTGTCATTGCTTGACTGAGCCAAATTAGTGTTGGGGCATTCACGAATAGAAACTGAATGAAGTCAGATAGGAAGATAGATTGAAAAAAGAGAGATTGGACTTGCAGTTTGAGACTGTGATTGACGTGGGGAGACAGAGAGAGAGAGAGAGGGCAGTCAATACTGACAAGGCACCAAAAAGTATGAGGAAGGATGGGAGTGGGAGGGGGTAAAGGTTATATAATTCACCCTAATCTCACAGTATCAAAGTGTCTGAGATTCTGTCATTTGCCTCATTAGCCTCTCTTTGTTGGGCCAGAGGAGCAGATTTCATGGAGGATTTGGAGAATGGCTTTGGTTCTGCCTGAGACGCTCACACAGAGCAGGAAGTTAGTTTCACGGCTGGCGACATGTAAGCTGTCAAAGTTTTCCTCAGATCCATCTCTGACTCAAAAATATCTCTCAAGCTATAGAAGGCCATTCACGGGATAAGCTCACTGATGTCGGAGCCACTGATCCATTTGTTAGTGCAGATAAGGATAATGCTTTCTGCGTAACTGCAGACTAAAGTGCCCTCGGCTGTTTTCACAGAGGTTTCACAACAATTACTCTTTTGCTACCTACAGTTGCTGGACAAACCGCATGTAATGATCTTATTCACTTGACAATATTAATAGTAATAACGTTGCCTTTATACTGTACAAAAAAACCTATCATTATGACCTTGTGGTTATCTGTATTTTCTATCTTGTAAGTTTTAGTCTCCTTGAATGACTTCCCTTCTCTGTACACAGCCAATAATTTTTTTTTCGCTCCCCAGACTGTGTGAGTTAGCAGTGTGGCCCATTGGCCTCCTATATATTGTTACAGTGGCAGGACAGTTATTGTGTCCAGGGTTTATATCACATTCTAATGGAGCAAGGCTATGAGTTAAGGGCGGTAGGCTTTTACACCCAGGCTGTTAAATCACTGTTCAGATGACTTCATTAGCAGAGCTGGACACATGCTGAGACACTTGTGCCTGCACACACATAAACACACACACCTGCACAGAGATACACTTTCATCCTGCTACCTTGACGGTGTAACATCGGGGGCCAGACAGGAGGGAAAGTGGATTTATACAGGTGTGTGTGTCCTTCTTTGTCACCTGTCACTTCAGTTCCCTCAGCACGATGGCTCATCCATCATCTGCAGATTGAGCTTTTCAGCAGAAACCAGACTGATTAATACTACCCTAGGACCCCCAGGGTTGACTGGCTGACTGGCTGACCTGGCTTCCAGGCAGGCTGGCTGTTTGAATGCATAGATAGATGACTTGTAGGTGGGCTAACTTTTTAGCCTGCTTGTTTGCTGGCTAAATGGCAGGCTGGCTTGGTTGGGTATAGTGATGTAGGGAGTAGTGATCAGGTGAGGTTTAGCTGGATAAATGATAGGATAAATGATACTTTGACTGAATGGCTCATAAGCTGACTAACCTGTTGGCTGTTAGCCTGCTCCGATGAATGACAGGTCTCGAAAAGGGATTGATGGATGGGGGATGAACTGACTGGGAGAATAACTAGCTGCCTGTTTGCTGATGGCTAGAAGCCAGACTGAGACTCTGAGCCTAGTTTTACCCAAGTTAGCAGGTCCTGTGCAGAAACTGTGCACTCTTTCAATCATTATAAACGTCCTGAAAGACTTTTCAGTAGATTTTTTATTTTGGGGTTTCCTTGAGATTTTTTTTATAAGCACCTTTTTACACTACCATCACTTTTTTCTGTCTTAAATGCTGCCAGTTAGTTGTTTGATAGATACTGATGTAGAGTTGACTTATGAAAGAGACGCTGGCAGAAATACCACACCATACAGTATTCACAAATCAAGGTTCAGACCTCAATAGGACTACAGTGTATTTCAGTTTATATCATCTGTCCTGATGTGTATTCACTCACTTCCTTTACCGTCAGTCTCTATCAACTTTTAAGTATGGTTCCTTTTTTTAAATGCCAAAATCAATGACATCACATGCCCAGGTTAAATATGTGCTTGACATTTCACCTTGAACAAATTACAAACAAGGGTTTGTGTTAATTGTCATGGTCTACTGATGGAAATGTGTCCACACTGCCTCACTGTTTGACTTCAAATTACGAGCTGCCCTTTGTTTCTACCCTGGAGGCAGGGAGTCAAAGTACTAAGTGGTTCAACTGATACTGAATAGTTTCTCTTAAACCAGTGATCTCTGAATGGATCACTCATCTACTGTACTTTGTCCTTGGTCACCCTTTTGAAATCCTCTTTTCTTTAGTGAACATTTGTAACTCTTTCACAGCATACTTTTGTAAGAAACAGTCAAAAGCAACACAACCCCTTTGTAGGTTGGAATTAATGGCTTATTCTTTATTCTGTAACTCTAATTGTGTTGCAAGGACTTTATGAACTGCAGTATTTTTGTGTCATTTTCCTGTTCCATCCAAAGAAAATGAAACAAATCTTTGAAAGAAGTGTTGCTACGGACTAAAGTCACATTTTAACTGTCATCTGCCAAGGTGACTTTTTGAGACTGTTTCTTTGCGTCTGTGTGTCAAAGAAGGTCCTCTGACCTGGTTGATAAGGGGTAGCCTAGTATGAGAGATGAAGCTTCATGTGTCACAGGGCGACTCTTCCACTCCATCATAAGGACCTAATCTCACCCAAGGACATTCAGGCTTACATCTACAGCACCGGTCCACTGCTCCAGGTACTGCTTCCTAAACCCAGTGCGGCACAACATGACGACTTCATACGCTGACCTCCAGAATATTTTAAAGTTAGATATTCTATGGCTGTTGTTCTGTTTTTAAAGCAATATTATGAGTACGCATTTGTCCTCATGATTTTATTTCACACGCTGACAGTTAAGAGAGTACAAGCAGCATTGACCCATAGATTTGGTGGCCTAATATGGTAAGCTACTCTGTAACTACTGAACACTAAAGCATTTCTTCTGCATTGTCTCATTGTTGCTGTTACCCCTCAGGTCCATAACAATAGCAGTTTGTGGAAAAATGCCAGTCTGTGGCATTCTCTTGCTTGAGCAGCTCCTTAAATTGCGGCGATAGACACTTGTGCTTTCAGGAAGTGGGCAATCACCATCTGTTCCTGGGCGCTGCCATATGGCGGGCCTTTTTCTCAGGGAATAAAATAAAAACAAATATGTCAGAATGTTCGTCTTCCTCCACGGACGCTGATCAACCTGGGGAGAAGCTGGATCTGAGTGTGTCTGGATTAATGGTCTTACTTTACGCTTCAGGGAATGAGGGAGTATGTGCTTGTGGTTGGTGCGGCTTTGTGTGTGTGTGTGTGTGTGTGTGTGTGTGTGTGCAAGTACATGCGCATGCCTGTTTGAGGATATGCACATGCTAATGCACATTTATGTACCTGGAAGTATTTCTGGAATCATTTATCTGACTTAAAGGGTGATGCTGCCATACCATTTTGAGCAGCTGGTTGCCCTAGTCTTGGAAGCATTAAACAACACAGGAGAAAAGAACTTCAAGGTTAGCCAGAGTGACATTTCATGGCTGCTGCTGCCAAAGAAACTAGAAGAAACACTCTCAAGCCATCATCAGGCTCTCCGTCTTGCGAGGCCAGAAATTCAAAAGACTTGTCACTTTTGAAAATCAGGAGAGTGTGATGTGTCATTGAGGAAGGGCTTCTTTCTTCTCTTGTTGATCCCCTTGTGTATGTCCCCTCCGCTGACTGACAGCTGGGGATGCAAGTCTGAGTTAGTGGAGACAGAATACATCTTTTGTCGGCTTGGTTATACATGGTGTGTTTTGTCTTCGCTACCCCTGGACAGCGCTGACACATTGAGGCTTTCTTTAGCCGTAAGCAGGTGGCGGAGGAAAGGGA